GGTCTTCTTTAATACTTTGAAGAAGGGCAGGGCCCTCTCAGCAGATCGGGAGAGGAAACGGCTCAAGGCTGCCAACCGACCGGTGAGTCGTTGTACGTCTTTCAACGAACTGGGCGACCTCATTTCGGTTATGGCCTTGATCTTCTCCGGATTAGGCTCAATTCCACGCTTGGTCACCATGAACCCCAGAAACTTACCGGTCTTTACAGCAAAGACGCATTTCTTGGGGTTGAGACGCAAGTTGTACTTAGCCATAATCTCGAAGCAAAGCCTCATGTCGGCCGGGTGGTTCTCCGCGCCCGGGCTCTTGATCAGCATGTCATCCACATAGGCCTCCATGGACTTACCGAGGAGTGGCTTAAAAAGCCGGTTGACCATCCTCTGGTAAGTGGCGCCCGAGTTCTTCAACCCAAAGGCCATTACCCGGTAACAATATGTGCCTTCGGGGGTTAAGAAGGAGGTCTTTTCTTCGTCCTCTTCAGCCATGAAAATCTGATGGTAGCCTTTGAAAGCATCCATGAAGCTGAGCAATTCACACCCGGCCGTCTCATCGATCATCTGATCGGGACTGGGCAGCGGGTATGAATCCATGGGGCATGCCTTGTTTAGGTCGGTATAGTCCACGCACATGCGCCAGGTATCGCCCTTTGGAGCCAAGACTACGTTCGCTAGCCAAGCCGGGTATTGTACTTCTCTTATGTGCCCGACCGCCAACAAATCTTTTACCTCTTTTTTCACAAAGTCCCTCCGGACGTTTGCCAAGTGTCTCTTCTTTTGTTTCACTGGCCGGCTCCCCTCCATTACAGCCAGACGATGGCATATAACAGAGCGATCAATGCCCGGCATGTCCGCCACACTCCAAGCGAAAATGTCTGCATATTCCCGAAGGACCGAGATGATTTCATCTCGAAGTCCTCCAGGCAGATCTCTGCCAATCTTCACCATTCTTTCCGGGAATGCTTCCCGGAGAACGATCTGCTCGGTCTCATCACCCGGTTCCAATTTTGACCGGTCCTCTTCTTGAGAGACCAAAGTGACTCTCTCAAAGGCCTTTGACATTTTCTTTACAGCCTCCAGATAGCAATGCCGGGCCTTTTTTTGATCTCCCCTGACTTGTCCTATACCGCCCGGGGTATAGAACTTCATACAGAGGTGGGCCATGGATATGACCCCACGGACCTTGTTTATCCCAGGTCGGCCTAAGATAGCATTGTGAACACATTTGATGTTCACAACCACAAACCTCATCTGCTTCTGGACGACCTGATCGCCCGTGCCCAGTTCACAAGTTAGAAGGATCGATCCTTCAGCTTCGACCGAGTCCCCGGTGAACCCAGACAGGGGAGTCTTTAAAGGCTCAAGTTGTGTTCGACACAACTTGAGCTTCTCAAACGCATCCAGGTACAGAATGTTAACACTGCTGCCCGTGTCAACAAGTACCCGGGATACATCGACTCCACCCATGTCCATAGTAATCACCAGAGGGTCATTGTGATCCTCTCCGGTGGCGGGAAGGTCCCGGTCAGTGAAAGTGATCGGTTCCCGTCTTGCTTGTTTTGACCGGGGGTTGAGGGCTACCGTCCCTACATAAAGTTCTCTTCCCCATTTCTTCCTTTGGGAAGCAGAATCTCCCCCTTCCGGCCCACCATAGATAACCTGTAAATGCTCCTTGCCGGCTGCCTTTTTCTTCTTGTACTGCTCAGCCGGCTGTCCTTCAGGTCTGACCCATTGGTTCCTCGTTTGTTTGGCCTGAGCTAGGTACCCAGGGTCAATCTCTCCGGCCTCAATCATCTGCTTTACTAATCCCTTCACACTGTTGCACTCTGCAGTGTTATGGGAGTCAGTTTTGTGAAAGGAGCAATACTTCTCCGTCCACTGCTTCTCGCCGGCCGGTTTCTTCTCTGTTTTGCCCAGCTTTACTTCCATGACTTCCGCCTTCACCCTACCGGGAAGGTCAATTTCCTTTTTCAAGGAAATTTTCCCCTTTGAATGTCCCTGCTCGGCCTCCCTTTTGCACGATACCTGTGCTTCGGCGTCAGCATAATCCCAGGCTGTGTTGTAGGCCTCTTGGTAGGACTGGGGAGGCCTCCTGCAGAATTCCTTGTAAAGTTCTCCGGACCGGAGCCCGGATACAAGGAGGGACATGGCCGTTTTGTCGTCCATCTCCTCCACCTTGTCAACCTCATCCTTCCAACGGGTAAGGAATTTGGTCAGATCCTCGTGTTCTCTCTGCCCGGCTGTACTCAAGTAGGTGAACTTCTTCCTCTTAGTGCAGTTTTCTTTAAACTTTTCTTGAAACACCTCAGCCAGCTCATCGAATGAATCGATCTCGCCGGCCGGTAAGTTATGAAACCATTCCGCGGCGCGGCCGCGGAGGGTTTGAAAGAAAAGTAGACAATTCTCATCCCCGGAAAGACCCATCATCCGTCCACTTTGATGGAGGGTTTTGATGTGAATTTCCGGGTCCTCCTTCCCGGTGAACTTCGGGACTTCAAGCTTCGCCTTCTTTGGAAAAGGGGTCTCATGAACCCGGTCTGTGAACGGAGATTCGTTCAGCAGAATCTTCTTCTTCTCCTCCCGATCTACCCTGCGTTGCAGCTTTTCCAAACGTGCCTCGACCCGGCCCACACGATCCCGTGGTTGTTCAGCATGAGAACGGGTCGTGTGTCTGGGGTGGCTTTCGGCTTCTCCTTCTCGTGGCGTCCGGCTGTGTTGGGGCTCATCGCGTGGGGGTGGTTCCGTCCGCCTGGTCTGACCAGGTCGTCCGACTCCTCTCCCCGTACGATTAAAGACACTAGCTGGGATAGTTTCCACTCCCAACCGTTCCTTTGCTGACCGGTTTTGATTTCGGCCATCGTGCCCCAGCCTTTGAAAGGCCGACCTCCTAGATCCTTCTGGTTGAACATCCTTTCCCTTCAATTTTTTGAGCGCTTGGGGAGTGTCCCAATCCTCGTCCTTGCTGTGGACTGAGCGCACGTTTCTGTCCGAGGTCACTTTTGTTTGTGACCTACGGGACCGACTTCTCCTAGACCGGGACGGGCCCGCTTTATCCATCTCCCCGATCAGGTTTGTCGGAACGATCGGGCGAATGACATTAGTTTGAGGCGTGGATTGCGAGAATAATCCCGGATTGAAATGTGAAAACCCTCCCGGTTGCTGGAACATGGACATGAAATGTCCAAAGTTCTGAAGGGCCTGGCTGTACATCGGATCCAGGGGTCCCGGGAAGTTTGAAGGAAAAACGGGAACAGGGTTTACGGGGGAAGTGAATGGGATAGGTTGCGGAATGGTGATGATGGGGGTAGGAATCTGGGTTATTTGCTGGGTAATGGGCTGGGTGCTACCTCCCGGGAAAGAAGTGACGTTCTCCGCGGGGGTAGATATCTGTGAGAGTATGATTTCCTGGTTACTGGCCATGACTTTTTTTTTTGTAATGGTCCCACGGTCGGCGCCAATTTGATGGTGTAAATTACCACGCAAACACTAAGTAAAAGTAGTCGGAAGGGCTGTAGGTGGAAACACCTGTAACCCGGTTTGTTATTAATGATGCTAGGACTATTACAAAGTACAAGCCGTGTAGGTTAATTAAAACATACCTCACAAATGAGGGTTTTGGGGGTATTTATAACATAATTAAGCACGTCAAGCACGTCTCTGATTATCCAACCGGTCACCTGTATGACCGGTCGCATAAGAGCACTTGGAGAGCATTTCTTTCGGTGTGAGCAGCGAGACCAACCAGTCAGTCGGACAGACCTGCCGGCTTCACAGCCCGGTCTGAGAAGGACGCGTCCCGTCACTTCGTTAACCACCCAGTCGACGAACCAACCGGGTGGTATCCATGGGTTATTACCCATCATCGGGGTATTATTTTTTATAATATTTTAGTATATATATTCGGTTCGGGATTTTTGGTATGGGACGTCACCTCGTACCGTTCCCAAATACCGTACCGACCATTTGGTTCGGTACGTTTCGGTTCCTTCTCAGTACTTTTTCGGTTCGGTATTTTTCAGTTCAGTATCACTCCTAATAGCTTTTGTTTTCTTACTTTCTTTTCGGCCCTCTCCATTTTCTATCATTACTCCGATACATGTTTTAAATAATACTTTGGATTATTTCTTAAACGAAATACACCATTTATTTAGCATGTAAATTTTTTGGATTTTGAAATCAATTTATTTGCAAACTAGTATAAAATAAAAATAAAATATTATATATTTAAACATTACATCAAAAGTTTTGAGTGCACTGGTTCACTTCAAAAAGGTTACTGGCCTACACATAAACACTGATAAATCTCAGATTGTTATGGGTGAAGTGAACTTAGAAACAGAGAATAGATTCTTGAGACTAACTAAAATGACTAAAGGGGAATTTCCTTTCAAATACCTAGGTTGTCCCATCACAGATGCAAGGATTGGACAGAGAGAATGTGATAAGCTTGTTGAAAAGCATACCACTAAAATTAGCTCCTGGGCGACTAAGCATCTTTCATACGCGGGTAGGATAAGACTTATAAACTCCGTGATGTTTGGTATTGTCGCCTTCTAGTCCAGAATGTTTATCATTCCAAACAAGGTCATGACGTATGCAGGAACTTCCTCTGGGGCTCTTCACCCATGTACAATTGATGTCCACTGGTGGCATGGGAGGATATCTGTCAGCCTAAGGCTAATGGGGGTTAGGCTTGAAGAACTTAGTAAAATGTAATAAAGCTTGGTGGTCCCAAAGTGGTGAGATACAAAGTCTAGAGGGGGGGGTGAATAGACTTTGTTACAAATTTAAAATCTTTTTCGTTTCTTTTGAAAACGTGAGAAATGAGTGTAAATCTAGAGTTCTTGTGAACTTTAGATCGTGTGCGGAATTTTGGTGGGTAGAGTGAGCAGTAATCAATATGGATGGGTTAGTTTTCACAGTTAATATAATTGCTAATAAGAGTAGAGATAAAAGAGAGAGAGACACGCAAACTTTTAACGAGGTTCGAAGGTGGGGTAATCCTTCTACGTCCTCAAAATCCACTATGTAGTTGGTTGTTGAATAATGAACCAACAATTACACTTGTGTGAATTTTTGCACGGTATATCTTCGCAAGGCCAATGTTGCTACTGCACTCGTGCTGGCTTTGTTGTTCCTTCGAAGGTCACGCTTCTTCAACAACTGCAATGTCCGAACAATAGGACTTGCAAGATCAACTTGTAAGAAAGTTGACCAACCCCCTTTTTAATCAAAATGTTTGATTAAAAAATTGTATCCTTCAACGTGGTGTGGTACTTGAGGTAAGGAGACCTTCAAGTGTTTACACTATAGCTCTTTGGAAGGAGGAGGAGTTTGCTTCTGGATAAGGAGTTTAAGGAATCTCTCTTTATCAAGCTTTTTGGGCTAACTGTGAATGTGATGGCTTTTGATTGCTTTGTTCAACTTATTCAATCGTATGATTCTTTACCTCTATCTTCCTCCAGTCTTCCAAAGGTGCTATTTATAGCTGGATTGGATAATCTATCCGTTGAGTCATAATAGACTATCCGTTGCATTTGCTGGCTTCATTTTTGAATGAAGATTGTGATTTGAAGATTCTTTGTTGATGTGGGCGTTTGGACGTACCCAATTGTTTGAGGAGTGATTCTACTGATCACATATTCCGTCTTCTAGCTGTTTGTTCAAGAATTCTGAACTGTAGCACTTTACTCTGTTTGTCCTCTAGTGCTTGTTTAGGAATTCTGGGCAGGCTCTTCAATTTAGAGGGCCAGACTTTGTCTTTGAGTAATTTGTTCTTGAATCAGCATAATTATCTTCAATCTAGCCGTTGAAAATCAAGAGATTGATTATTCCTTACCAACGGGTAGAATTTCTTCATTCAGGACTTAGATAATATTCCAAGTCTTTTTCCCACTTGTCCGCTTTTTGAGAGTTCCGGGCTTCAATGAGTCTTCCGTTTCTTAGCTGACAAATCCGGAGAGGTCATTCTGAGTCTTCCGAGTGAGAAAGAGTTCCGCGCTAGTCTTCCGACTTTAGCCTAAGCGGGTAGTAGCGAGACATCCGGTTTTCATGTTGTCTTCCGGAATAGAGGATCTTCATTTTCTTGAGAATTCCTTACATGTCTCTGACATATCCGATCAAGATATCCGATTTCCATATCACGAATTTGATTAAGTCTTCAGGCATCAAAACGCTTAAAGGATAATTACAGTTTTATTGGAAATCTCAAGAGCTCGGTTTTGACAATATTTCTAAAAAGAAAAATTACATTGAATATTGGGGGAGACCTAAAGTCCCTATTACATTCTAAATACATCATCATCAAAATCTATAATATTTTTCCCAACAAAGCTAATGATATGCAGCTGATCTGAGATATAGCCAACAAGAAATATATCCTATGGGTTAGATGGATGCACCATAGGTAACTAAAGCAAAGCACAATATGGCACTATGAAGGAAGTGGGGACATATGTTTCTAGTGGAAAAAACTATTGAAGGTGTGGGAAGAGTTTAAGGCCATGCCTGTGAAGGGAGATTATACTATTCAAGAAGGCTATAAGTGGATTATGGGAGAGAGATCTAAAGTGGCATGGGTTAATACAGTTTGGAACAATTGGACCCAGCCTAAACACCAAATAGTGGCTTGGCTAATCTGGAAAGAGAGACTACAAACAAGAACCAGATTGAGCAAATTCATACAACTGGATACTAGATGTGGAATCTATGAAAGATATGATGAGGATCTGGACCATTTGTTTTGTTCTTGCCAATACGCCACTGAAGTGCTTAGTGAGGTATTTAAATGGATGGGAATGGACATTAACGTTCATACACTAAGAGAGGTGAAGAAGATGATGGATGCTTGCAAGAGTAGAAAAGAAAGAAAGCTAAGGGAAGCAACATTCAACGCTAGTTAATATCCTATATGGAGAGCTAGGAATCAAATTATTCATGGGAAAGAGCCCATATCGGCTAAGGAGTGCATTCAGGCGGATCCATTTTGAGTCCTATGGGGTCCCGGGACCCCACAGACCCCGGTGTAGTTCCATATAGGTATTATGGTTTGTAATTACATTTATTAGAGCACTGGTAATGGTCATGAAGCCCCAGGGCTTCAAACTTTCTCTCTCTGCCACGTCAGCTTTAACTTACACCCAAAATTCACTGGAAATGGTTTTGAAGCCCTGGGGCTTCAAACTGGGGCTTCAAACCTTCATTTTTTACATTTTTAAATATACATCTTCTAAATTTAAATTTATAAATTTAAATTAATTTATTACAGTATTTTAATTAATCGCAATGACACTATTGCATAAAAAAATTAAATTCATTATAAAAAATCTTACATTCATAAAAAAACATTAAAAAAAATTACATTCATTAAAAAAAATTACATAAAAAAAACAACAGTACAAAGAAATCACTAATTATTCGAACGACTAAAGATATGCTCGATCAAATCCGCCGTTAGTGCATTGTGAATCTCTCGGCTTCGAATTTCTTCGCGGTTGCGTCGTTTCTTTTCTTCGGTGATTTCTTCATACATTGGCACCTCCTCGTCCGGGTTGTACTGACAAATCGCAGACCCGTTATCCTCTATGATCATATTATGAAGAATAATACATGCGTACATGATATTCCTCATTTTTGTCTGAGAATAACATTTCGACGGACGATCTAGAATGTGCCACTTAGCCTTCAAGACCCAAAGGCTCATTCAATATCTTTTCTCGCCGCCTCTTGAGCTTTTTTGTAGGTTTGGCGTTTAAGACCCATTGGTTCAGAGAGAGATTTGACAATCGTGGAATAATCCGGATATATTCCATCAGCCAAATAATATCCACGCTTGTAAAGCGTCCCTCTAAGCTCAAAAGAGGAGTCCGGTGCGGTCTCATTAACCCAATCATCAAAAACAGGCGATTGATCGAGAACGTTGATGTCGTTGTTTGAGCCCGCGACACCAAAAAAAGCATGCCAAATCCACAAGTCATTCGAAGCAACAGCTTCGAGCATGATGGTAGGCTTGGGATGATCTCCCAGGGAGAATTGACCGTGCCACGCAGTGAGACAAATTTTCCATTCCCAATGCGTGCAATCAATACTCCCAAGCATGCCAACAAAGCCGTGTTTAGCGGCATGCCTCGCCTGCAACTGCTGGATGTCGCTCGCTGTAGGCTTGCGTAAATATCTTTTATGATAAATTTGAATAATAGCTTTTGAAAATTTATAAACACAGGACCTGATGCTCCGAGCAGACATCTTTAAGTATTCGTCGAACATATCGGATTGTCGTCCCGTACGCCAACTGACGGAGCGCGGCAGTTCACTTTTGGACGCTACTAAACCTGCGTCGGCCTCTCGCATCAAACCGTTGGTTGAACCAAGGAACTCCGCGTTCAACATCGGCGAGTATGCGTAAGAACAGAGGATGACTCATCCGAAAACGATTACTAAAATCCTGCGGTGTATAAACACACGGATTATTAAAGTAGTCGTTTAGAAGTGAATCGTGGGCGGCCGCTCGATCCCGGTTTAGACGTTGGCGTCGGGTCCATCGTCGGGAGGATTCGGCTTCTTCTTGGCCATCTTCCCACCATTGAATACAATTCGTCGCCAAACAACGAAAAAATAAAGCTCTTCTTTCATCGTCGAAAGATGAACCCATTTTTAAATTATATTTTATAAATATTTATAATAAATAATAAATATTTTTGAAAGAATATATAGTAATAAAGAGAGATTTGTGAGAGAGAGGTGTGAGGAAGATGTATGAAAAGGGGGAATTTTATAGTTTTTTTTTTAAATTTAGAGTTTTTTTTAATGGGGGGGGACGGCTCTATAGCCGTTGGGAAGGGGAACGGCTAAAAAATCGGCCCTCACGCTGCGTCAAACGAATGACGCAGGGCTCCTCACGCCCGTTTAACGCTTGCGGGGGGCGGTGTTTCACGCCCCCGGGGCGTTTAATGACTCGTAACGCCGGTGTGCGTGAGGAGTATTATCAGTGCTTTTATATAAACAACGCGTAGCGGCAAGACAAGATAATGGCATTTGGTTTAGTGGAAGCGTGCGTATGTAGCATTATAACTCTAGAGCCCGCGTTCGACCCCATCATGGGCTTCTCATAGTCAGTTTTTTTCCTATTTTATAAAACACGGAGTTTATAGTCAGTTTTTTTCTTTTTTTAAAAAAAGAGCATGGCGTAAAAATCAAAACGCATAATCCCTATTTTCTATGCAAATTTGACCTCTCTACTCTAATTCTCTATTTTGAATTTTTAATTTTGAATCCTAACCTTCGTATTTTAGAGTCAATTTTTTTTCTTTCAAAAAAAGAGCAGGGAGCAAAACGATGTCGTTTTGCGCGTAAAAATTACAATGCGTAACCCCTATTTTCTCTTTCTCTATTTCGAATTTTAATTTTTGAACCCCAACCTTCGTCTTTTAGAGTCAGTTTTTTCTTTTTTTAATAAAAAAAAATCATGGAGTAAAATGACGTCGTTTTGCGTGTAAGAATTAAAACGCGTAACCCCTATTTTCTCTACAAATTTGACCTCTCTTCTCCGATTCTCCATTTAGAGTCTTTAATTTTGAACCCTAACTTTCATCTTTTAGAGCCAGTTTTTTTTCTAAAAAAAGGAATGGGTAAAACGACGACGTTTTGCGCGTAAAAATTAAAATGTGTAACCCCTATTTGTTGAAACACGGGTTTATCGTGTTTTCGTACTAAAGCCGTGTTCGTGTTTATGACAGGTTTTGATAATGCCAAACCGCCGTGAACGAGACAAGTTGTTGAATATACAAGGCGAGAAATAAACATAAGAAGAAAGCAAGAGAACAAGACCCAAAAGAAGACCAAGAACGAAGACCGTAGTCTTAGTGTTGTTGAGTCGGTCATAATTGTGATCAAGACCGACCCAACCTTTACACCTTGGCTCTTTAGGCTAAAATTCTTTTCATTGCATTTCACACATCATAAAAATGTTTTTCAAACATGTTTAAAACATTAAAAACACTTGGTGTTCGCCCAAACCAAAAACCAAGCCATCCAGCGTTCGGGTTTCAGAAACCGGCGTTCGGCTCTCGGTTATCGGCTATGGTTTTTGGCGTCCGAACCAACCGAGTGGTTTTCAACTTTTTATGATTTGTTTTCACTCCTTGGCATGTTTAAACGGTTCTCCAACAAAAACACTTCGAAAACCATCTTTCGCTTTTGGTCGTTTGACAAAAATCATTCAAAACGGCATAAACTTGGCTAGCCGTGGTTTTCACTCAAATGACGTGGTTTTTAAAGTGTCTCACTTGATTTNGGGTTTCAGTGCCGGTCGGCTAAGCCATGGTTCTGGGCTAGCCATCCACCCAGCGATGGGAAGATCTTCCCATCGATGGGTAAGCAGTCCCCCAGCGAAACTGACTTCCAGAACCATGCCAAACAGCGATGGGAAGTTCTACCCATCGATGTTTAAGCCTTGGTCCAACATTTTCACAAGGCAGAATGCCCTTACCCAGCGATGGGAAGCTTTACCCATCGATGGGAACCCAGCGATGGGAAGGCTTAACCATCGATGGGAAGGCATGACCGTTGCGAGTTATTTAAGGCTGATTCTTTCCTTATTTGAAAGTCAACCTCCCACCCAGCGATGGGAAGCATCTACCCATCGATGGGTAGGTGACCGTTGGCTTTAAAACTGAAGGAAAATTCGCTTAACAGCGATGGTTGAGTCTAAACATCGATGGGAAGCCAATATTTTGCAGATCCCAAATTTTTTCAATCCCATAAATCAAGCCAATCACCCCTTTAACGCATTGGTCCGTTGGAGCCTATTTTGGCACTATAAAAAGGGGTGTTTGGGTCTGCTTTACAAATCAAATTCACTTCACAATATTCATACTTTCATTGCATTCAAATAACATCATTTTCCATAGCTTTCTAGAGCCAATTTGTGTGAAGTTTGAGTTGTTCTTGAGCGTATATATTTTACTCATATCCACTCTTAAGGAGAGTCTTGTTCTTGAGTGTCTTAGTGTTGTATACACGATAAGGGAAGCTTGTTTCCCTTGGTTGTACGAAGGAAAGGTATTTTCCTTCGGGTTGAAGTCTTGGAGTGCGGTATCTCCGAGCAAGCGTTGTTGAGGCTCGTGGGACTCGAGTTCTCAGGTTGTAACGGTTTGTTAAGCACCCGTAAGCTTAACGGAAGTAGTGTAGCTCGAGAGAGTCTCTCGGGAGACTGGATTAGCCACACGTTGTGGTGAACCAGTATAAATCTTGGTGTTCTCCCTTTACGCTTTCTACGCTCTTTACTTTTTCACGTTCTTAATTTTTTATTCCTGCGATTTCTACGATCAAACGCTATTCACCCCCCCCCCCCTCTAGCGTTGGTCACTTATTCTAACACTATTTTCACTGCAAATTTGACCTTTCTTCCCCAATTCTCTATCTCAAATTTTTAATTTTGAACACTAACCTTCGTCGATTCTCCATCTCTCTTTCCCGTTGCTCGCCGGCCTTTGTTCGCCGTGGCACTGAAATCGACCACTATCCACAGCAGTAGCCCCGGCAGGTAATTTGGCTTAAAAATTTTTTTATTGTGCTAAAATTAATTTTTATGGTAGTTTGAAGTTTGGTATACGATTAGTAATATATAAATATATACTCCCTCCGTCCCATTTTATAACGCATGTTTCGGTTTATGATGTTTGATTGAAGTTATTTTCAAACTATTTTATATGAAAAATGGTATAGAATTAAAAAATAAAAATTACATATCAAAATACTACATCAAAAGATCTACAAAACTAGTAGTGACAACAATATTTTATTTTATCAATTTGCTAACAAAAATAGATAAAGAAAGTGAATGATGTTTGACCCTGTAAATACTAAACATGCATTATAATTTGGGACGGAGGGAGTAATAATTTATATATTTACTACGTATTTTTTATTCATTACTTGATATGAGAATGGGAGATAGAGAACCACATGGTTGTAAAATTCTGAATCCGCCTCTGAGTGCATTGAATACTCTAAATTCCAAATTTATACTTTTGTAATTCCTAAATTTAAATAGCAATAGGGAGGGTGCAGGAATGATTGGTTAGCCTAGAGCTGAGTTTGTATTGATTCATATGGAATAAAAATTTGCATTTCGTTCAAAAAAAAGTTTTACAAAAGATAACAAGAATATTTTATTTTTTCAAATTTAATAAAAATGTCTAAATAAACAAAAGTTATTGAAAGAATTAATAGTAATAAGATAAATTTTTGGACAAAGTTAGGATGTTGTAATAGGGAAAAACGAAAATAAAATTCTCATAGATATATTCCATGAACCCAAACATCCTTGTTATGGAAGACACATTTCAAATTCTCTTCAATTCTGCCATAAGCAAGAACATTGTTACTCCATCCGTTACATTTGAATTTTTAATCTGCGTTACGATGTTTAATCAATTTTATTTTCGATTTACTTTATTTGATTGTTAGGTTTAAAATTACAAAATAAAAATTATATATTAAAATTTTATCAAATGATCTACAAAACTATATGTGATATTATTATATTATGTTATCAAACGAGTAACGAAAATAAAGTACTCCTTCCGTCCTAAAACTATCTTCCCAGTGACTATTCACATGGTCAAACATAAATCACTTTCTTTACCTAATTTTGTTAGTTATTTGATAAAATAATATATTTTTGTCACCTCTTGTTTTGTAGTACTTTTGATGTAGTTTTTAAATATATAAATTTTATTTTTTAATTTTACACCTACAATCAAATAAATTGCATTGAAAATAAAATTGGTCAAACCTTGTAAACACAAATGAGAAGATAGTTTTAGGACGGAGGGAGTATATAAAATTTGACATAATGTATAATGTACGTAAAGATTTAAGCGAGACTATAGAGTAACTCCCCTCACTTTTTCTCACTTTTTCTATAAGCAGGTACTCCGTACATTGTAAAGCGTATAACTCTCACATTAAGGCCACATGTTATGCCTTCTTTGTTGATGGCCTTGCTAACAATCCACACGCCCATGCCGAAGGGAAGGAGAAGGTTGGGCGTTTTTGTACTCCCTTCGTGTATATGTCCCTAATTATATTTAATTTTAAATTATGAGATAATTAATAATATATAACAGGTCTTTAATTTTTGAAAGTTATTCAATAATAAGTCTTTAAGAAACTATATGTATCTAGTTGTATTTATCTTATTTGGCCTAACAAACTGTTTATATACTCCGTAATAAGTTTTTAAAATTGAAAACCATTTATATAATACTACGTATCTTCTATTTGAGGTTTAAATATAGAAAACTACTTAAAGTTTATGACCACTAATGTAATTTGCTCAAAAATTAATATTTAAAACCTATGTTTCATGTGTGCAGGAATAATCCAAATTATTTACTGAAGGATAATTCATAAGCATAATTAATTTTTAAAGAAATAAGTACACAATTTCCCAAGTATTCACCTGTTCAAATATGAATATTTTAATTTTTCACTTGTTCACAGAAAATATACCATAAGAAATACTCTGTACTCCGTATCATATAACCAATTGTACATTATGTATTGCAATTGTTCAAGAAAACTATTAATGTTATATTTACATCAAAACATAGTATCTAAAGTTCACATATTGATGCCAACATTTATAAAATTTAGCAAAATATAAATAAGATTAAGTTCAAATTTAATGAGTATTATTTAACTTGAAATAGAGTTTAATAGAATTAAAATTTTATGACTTTTAATTCCCTAGAATTGAATTAACCAATTCTAATTCATTTTTTGCACTACCAATTCTAATTCCACATAATTTTTGTGCTACCAAACATGAAAATTGGATTTGAAGTCTTCAATTCAAATTCCATAGTTTGAATTCCATGTACCAAACAAGACCTAAACATTTAATTTAATCTAACTGAAATTTGTTTATTGGACGAAATAGATTTATTCATTACACGATCAGGTTCAATAATTTCTGTATTAAGACTCAAGAAACATTTTGACTATTGTTAAGGATACAGTTCTAGTGTACCCTTAAAATGTTCCTATTTTTTGGTGGGGGATAAATAAAGTTTCTTTCTTTTAAAGAGAAACTAAGAGTTTTCGACTAGAAATATTCCTATTTGTTTTCATAATTTACTACGGAGTATAAAATAAAATATTCTTGCAACTTATTAATTCATAAAAGTTTTAGATCCATGTAATTAGTCCCAATTAAAATAAACTATAAAGTCCCCATTAATCAAGAAATATATAAAAAAGAAAATGTTTGAACATGAAAGTACAAACATGCAGCGAGAAAAATCATTTAATATGTACAATAACGAAAACTTTTGTGAAAGACAATTATAATTTTTGGACCAAAAGTTACATTAAAGCAAGACAATTCTTTATCATTGTATCATATCAGTAATTAGCAACACCTATCATAAAATTAATTAGTTACACCAATCATAGTAAATTGATCTAAAACTTTTATAAAATAATGAGTTGCAAGAATACTTTAATTCCAATTACTAGAGAAATCCAATTACTAGAGAAATCCAATTGGATCTGAAGACTTCAAATTTTTGTGCAACTCCCTCCATCCCTAATTTGAAGTCTTCAGTACCACAAGGGCTAACAATGAAACTCTTCTGCAGTATATACCACATTAACAGTTGAGAACATTACCACATTGCAATAGATTAAAGGAGTCTAAATATATACTACTCCCTCCGTCCCAAATTATAATGCCTGTTTACTATTCACAGGGTCAAACTTCATTCACTTTCTTTCTCTATTTTCGTTAGCAATTTGATAAAATAAAATATTGTTGTCACTACTAGTTTTGTAGATCTTTTGATGTAGTATTTTGATATGTAATTTTTATTTTTTAATTCTATAGCATTTATCATATAAAATGATTTGAAAATAACTTCAGTCAAACATCGTAAACCGAAACAGGCGTTATAAAATGGGACGGAGGGAGTAGCAAAATCAGTACCACAAGGTCTAACAATGAAACTCATTCGGCAGTACATAACACATTAACAGCTGAGAACATTACCACATTGCAATAGATTAAAGGAGTCTAAATATTTACTAGCAAAATCAGTACTAAATGGGTTAACAATGGAACTCATTTTGCAAGACATCCCACAATAGAAATGGGGAACAATCTGTCAGAGCCATCTAAAAGTCCAAAACCACTAATAAAAAGGTTAACCGTAAAATTGCATTGTCAGACTCTTCATCCTACTTGCCTTTCTTCTTCTTGGAAATGGATGGTTGAATCTTCAAGCTTTGTGTCTCTTTTTTCAAAGAACTCTTTCGTTCCCCTTCAAGAGTTGAAGTCATATCACAGCTAGAACACAACAAGCCTAGTACGCTCTTCAAAGCATGGAGATTTTGAATTTTACACTGCTCAAAGATTTGACTGAACAATTCATCATCGAAACCTTCGGGATCAACACAATAGCTATACCAGGCAGATGAAAGCTTACCCCAACTCCGTACTAAATCAAAAAGAAAATTAAAGCTTTTAACATCACCCGAAAAACCAGGGGCACCAGTAGAAACCAACTTCATTATATCATCAACATGGTGAGGATCAGTGGGAGAAGTAACCCAAGCAAATAACCTCTGTTCCCTCTCATTTGGGATATCCAAGAACTTCTTGTCTTCCAAACTCATCATACCTTTCAAAACCTGGCTTTGGACTGGGTAAAACCGCACGGATTCAGATAAATGTACGAAAAAAGACTCCAAGCCAACCTTCCTTTCGTCTTCTTCCTCCTTATTTATATCCTCCAGCGCTTTTTTCAAACTTCCAACACCTAACTTTTTAGTAATAGCTTTTTGATAACGTGTAAAGGAATTTTCCAAAACCACAGACCCCTTAAGTCTAAAACCTGCTCCTTTGAGTGCATACCATTGATTTCTAAAATGGTAGCCAACAATGTAAACATCACATCTAGAAATTAGTAGTTTGGTCCTTAAATTTTTATATACGATCTCCACCTCTAAGAGGGGATGCCTATACTCTCCCCTCTTAGTTTCTAATATATCACCCACACAAAGCTTCCCACAATTACTGCGCAAAAAGTTTATGACCTCATTAAACCGAACATCAGGTGTAAGGCGCGATGAATTCAGATCGAACTTCCATTTGTGATGCGGTTGTATATCAGCATAATCAATAAGTCTGAAAATTAAAAACCAAATAAATTAACTACCCAGAAAATCCTTCAAACAGTACCCACATCACATAACATACCTAAAATGTTCTTCATCAAGCTCTTCTTTTTTCTTAGATTTCTTTGGTGCCATTGTTCTACATCTAAAATGATACATTTTTGAAAATAAATCAGCAAGCACATATAACAGTATCAAAGAACAACTAGATTTGAAGGAAAACAAAAAAACCCTAAAAAAATAATTGAAAAGTTTAAACCCTTTTCCTACCCTGCAAACGAATGTTGTGCAAGCAAAAACAAATACATCTTGGAACATTTTCAGCAAAATATCAAAAATCGAATGACAAAAATATCACAAATGGGGGTGTTTATCAGTCCAAGACCGGACCGAAACAAAATCGAAAAAACATAGGACCAGGACCTATTCTCAATCGGTCTTGGACCAGTTCAGAGCAAAATCTCTTGGACAGAACCGAAAGAAACCGATTAGACCGAATTTTTTTACAGTAATCGCCACTCAGCAGTCACCAACATCACTAATCACTCATCATAGAACTCTCAAGTCTTTTTTTAACATTTGACATTGCTGTTTTTTTAAACGATTTAAATTGTTTTTTTAAACAATTGATATTGCTGTTTTTTTTACAATTGACAATCAGATTTTCTTGAATACCTTAGCCAATTTTAAAAGTTTCAAATCTCATTTGGAAACAAAATCTAAGAAATATACAATTGGGCTAAGTCATACAAATAACATGGAAATAATTTAACAAGAAGAAACCGGACCTGATTTAATTCGGTTCAAGGGATTCGGCTCTCCGAGACGGCGAAGGCGGGACGCCGCAGATGGCGAAGGGTGGCACTCTGCAAGACAGCGAAGGCGAGACGGCGAAAGCTCTCGGCGAATCCCTCTCAGGCTCTCGAAAAATGAGAAACTGAGAATCACGGATAGGCTGGATAAGGTTAAGCTTATGGCTATTGAGTGGAGTCTTTTGAATGCAAGAAAATCCGTATAAAATTAGATTAAGGGTTTATCGGTCGTTTTAGGTCAAGACCGATTGGGATGCGGGTAACCGAAACCCGAAATTAGAAATAGTTCGGACCGAAGACCGATCCGAAATCCTATCGGTTAGGATTCGGTCTCGACATATTGGTCCAATTCGTTCGGCCTCTAGAGTGGGCCTTGGGGGCTGGGCCTGGTCCATTAGAAATAAAATCTATTTAAAAAATCAAAATTAAAATTAAACATGAGGAGTTAACATAGTTGGTAAACATTCGCTTAAAAATACTCATATTTAAGATGCGGTAAAAAAATATAAATTCCCTTCTACAATAGATAGTCTACGGGGAAGGTATAGATATTAAGATCTATTAAAAAATTAAAAATAAACATGAATATTTGACATTTAAAATATTAACATAAAAAATAAGGTGAAGATATATCTAGTACAATTAACATTTTGTAAAAAAAACAGGGATACAGTACCCGTAGTATGTATTCTTTGAAAAAAAGGGAAAGATCCAATTAACCATGCACAATAATTTAATTTAAATAGAAAGAAAGACAATGAACCCATAGCCACACAAAAAATGAGCAAAAAACACACGGTATACACGAGAAGAAATCAAAGACGAAACTCGTTGTGGATGCACAACTTTTACAGATCCACTCAGATGACTCATCATACGGATCGAAACTAAAAAAGAAACAATAGATCAAATAATAAGCAAAAACGTAAAAGGAATCTGAAGTGATCCCATCGATATAATCTCCGATCCTGGAATGGATCTAATGGGATAAAACAACAAAAAAGATCGAGGAAAAAAGGAAATTGTTGAAAGAAAACAATAAATGAAATAGGGAGAAAGAAGGAGGAAAAACAATACATTAAAAATCAGCATAAAACACACTGTGTGCATGAGAATCAAATCGAAGATGAAACTCGTTGGGGATGCACAACTTTTACAGATCCTCTGAGAATTGACTCATCATCTGGATCAAAACTACAAAAGAAATTAGAGATCGGATAATTAAGCAAAACTGAGACCAACTCCAGATCTGATGGGATAAAAAAAGAAAAACAAGAAAAAAAACGAAATCGTAACAGAGAAGAAACAGAGAGAGGGAGATGTGGGGAGGAGAAAAAAAAAAGAGAGGGGTGAGAGTTGGAAGGGAACGGTGATGCGCTGGGCAAGGCATTGTTTGGGTTGGGTAAATAGATTATGCTATGTGTACCCCAAAGTTTGTACCCCAATTTGTACCCCGCCGTTTTGCACCAACACTTTGTGTTGGTGTAAAACTAATTTTTGTTAAACGCACCAACATTTGTGTCCGTGTGAATTTTTATTAACGCACCAACACTTGTGTCGGTGTAAACCATCGAAATGTTTGTGCAAACCTGTGGTGTACAAATGGGGTATATTTTTTGGTGTAAGTGTAGCATGGTCCTTGGGTAAATATATAGGCACTACTATTTTAGGGAATGCGAAGGGATGAAAGTACAGTAACTAGGTTTTACGATCTATCATCATGAATGGACGGTTGTCAGACCCCGGGCTTCTTTAGGAATTACTGCGGCTCAATTTTCATTGTGACGGTTAAATTTCCCCACTTCTTTTCTTTTATGCTACATTTACACCAAAATATGTACACCATTTGTACACCACATTTATGCATAAATATTTTGATGGTTTACACCGACACAAATGTTGCTGTATTAACAAAAATTTACACAGACACAAAGTGTTGTTGCGTTAACAAAAATTAATTTTACACCAACACAAAATATTGATGCAAACTTGTGGGGTATAATAATACTAAATGTGATTCATATAATTTGGAAATAATGAAAAAGGAAATGGTAAGTTGATATTACACAATATTTCTTTTTTTGGAAATTAATATTACACGGTATTTCTTTTTTTGGTTAGTTATAATACTAAATGTGATTATTATAATTGGAAATAATTACTGTAAAAAAGGAAGCTGCACAATTATAAGTCCAGATTCACAAAAAAAGAAAATTTTATGAAATAATAATAATAATAATAATAATAATACTTAACGTGATTGATATAATTTGGAAGTAATAATACTTAACGTGATTTATAAGAACTCTATTTTGGAGACAAGTTTTGATTAGGAAGGAAACGAATTGCTCTGGGGCTTATTAGTGGTCTTATTAAGAATAAATTTTATTACTCTCTCCGTCCTAATTCTTTCTTCCCAGTTTGATTTATCCTTGTTTTTAATTTTTGACTTTGACTTTAAATTTTACTCTCCTTAAAAAAGGTTTTTTGAATATTTTTGCAATCATTCAAAATATAGAGTAAGAAGATAATTGGTGTAAACACATGAGAGTGTTAATGTCATTTGTCATCTTTTTTTCTAATGGAAAGTAGTTTTAGGACGGAGAAAAAGGGGAAGTGGGAAGAAAATTTTAGGACGGATGGAGTAGAAGAGAATTAAAGTTTTGGAAAGTATTTCTTATTTATTTTTTTTACAATTATAAAGAAATGATCTAATTAAATACTTAATAATTTAGGAAAGTAGTTCTTATTAGGAATAAATCTTATTTTCAGAATTATATTCTAGGGAATAAAAATTAGGAGAGAATTAAAGATTAGAAAATTATAGTACTCCGTGGTTCTTATTTGAGAAATTTTTTGTTGTCAATTAATCTACTTTAAATTTACTTTCCTAAACATTAATAGGACAGCAGTTCTTATTAGGAATAAAATGTAAATTGTTGTGATACTGAATAAAAATAATACATTTGAATTATGTTTAGGAAAGTTGTTCTTATTTGAAGAATGAGGCAATAAACGATTAATATATACGAATAAATACTTTACATGGTAAGTGCTTTTATTTAAGGACTTATTAATTTAAAAAACGAAATTTATGAAAGAACTTAATTAATTGCATTTAGTGAAATTAAATTATTTCCTATTTAAAATTTTGAAAAAACTTTATTATTAAAAATTATATTTAATAAAAAAATTATTCATGAGCATATTAATTAGTACTTCTTTCGTCCTAAAACTTTCTTCCCACTTCCCCTTTTTCTCCGTCCTAAAACTACCTTCTCATTAGAAAAAAAGATGACAAATAATATTAATATCATCATGTATTTGCACCAATTATCTTCTAACTCTATATTTTGAATGATTGAAAAAAAAATTCAAAACATATTTTTTAAGGATGGTAAAATTTGAAGTCAAAGTGAAAATTTAAAAATGGAGAAAAGCGAAATTGAGAAGAAAGTTTTAGGACGGATGGAGTAATTGATTAATACTTTTGGAATTATGTTATTCAAAAATTCCTAAGTTAGGAATTTTTTTATATGGAGACTTAATAATTTATTATTTTTAATTACTTAAAATATTTCGAAAGGCAGATGCCTCCAACTAGAAAAAATATATTAATAGTCGATTAATTTTACTTCCTTTGAATTATTATTATAAGCAAACTTTTTTTCAGTAATATAAAACTATTAATTTCTTATCTGTAGAAAGGATATTAATGGATAGTTGGCGATGTTGAAATTGGAAACACCAATGAATGGTGTGTTATCTTGGTTGTCCCAAGTGCAACCAAAATGTTGTTCCAGATGCTACAAGGTTCAAGTGTATAAAATGTGACAAAGATTATCCCGAAAGAGTATATATATGTAATAATTTGTATTACTCTCTCCGTCCTAAAACTTTCTTCCCATTACACTATTCCAACTTCACGGGAATTTATATTTATTTGTGTTTTTTCATGACCTATATGATAAAATAAAATATTATTGTCACCACTTGTTTTGTTGAACTTTTAATGTAGTTTTTAAATATGTATGTTTTATTTTTAAATTCTATACCAATATTTAAATAAAATAGATTGAAAAAACTTGGGATTTTTCTTCGTTTTGCGAACCGGGAAGAAAGTTTTAGGACGGAGGGAGTAAAATAAATTACACGGCAAAACAAATATTTTTTAAATTACTAGTACTCCCTCCGTCCCAAATTATAATGCCTGTTCACTATTCACAGGGTCAAACTTTATTCACTTTATTTCTCTATTTTCGTTAGCAAATTGATAAAATAAAATATTGTTGTCACTACTAGTTTTGTAGATCTTTTGATGTAGTATTTTGATATGTAATTTTTATTTTTTAATTCTATACCATTTGTCATATAAAATGATTTGAAAATAACTTCAGTCAAACATCGTAAACCGAAACAGGCGTTATAAAATGGGACGGAGGGAGTAATTCATAACGTATGATTAATAAATACAAGGTGAGCATTTGTGTTATTCAAAATAGCGATGCTANCTCCCTCCGTCCCAAATTATAATGCCTGTTCACTATTCACAGGGTCAAACTTTATTCACTTTATTTCTCTATTTTCGTTAGCAAATTGATAAAATAAAATATTGTTGTCACTACTAGTTTTGTAGATCTTTTGATGTAGTATTTTGATATGTAATTTTTATTTTTTAATTCTATACCATTTGTCATATAAAATGATTTGAAAATAACTTCAGTCAAACATCGTAAACCGAAACAGGCGTTATAAAATGGGACGGAGGGAGTAATTCATAACGTATGATTAATAAATACAAGGTGAGCATTTGTGTTATTCAAAATAGCGATGCTACTTCGCTTATTCTTTGGGGGGTAAGGAATGTTAGAACCTTTTTGGAATGCTAGCGAGTGCAATGCAAAGTTTGATGGACGAGGTATTGAATTTTTTAACACTTTAAACTATTTTTGTAGAGCAAGTTAATGTTACAATAATATAATCTTACTAGTGTTAACCTTGTGCTTCGCACGGGCTCATAAATATTCTAAAATTTTAACATTCTATTTTTTATTTTCATTATTCGTTTGATAAAATAATATACTTATGTCATTTATATTTTTTTAAGTTTTTGATGTAGTTTTAAATATAAAAGTTTTATTTTTAAATTTTACACTTAATCAAACAAAATGAATTCAAAATAATTTCGGTCATATCTCATAAATTGAGAAGTCAGTTTTAGGACTAAGGGTGTATAATAAAATAAATCTAAAGTTTTAAAATATATATCATATACTCCCTCCGTCCCACAAAACCCTTCTCATTTCTTTTTTTACCCGTCCCAAAAAACCATTCTCTTTTCTATTTAAAAGTCAATTTTACATCTATTAATTCTTAACCTACCTATTATATCACACTTTTTCTCTATAATCTACTCATCTCATCATACTTTATCTATCGCATCAAATGGCATTTTTAGAAAGTAAACACTAAAATACACTCTCTTTAAATCTTTTAAAAGTCAAAATGAGTACGGAGGGAGAAGTTAATAAAGATGCTTATGTAATAGAGTCAATAGCACTAAAAAAATAGCACTAAAAAAAGATGCATATGTGATACATTAATGAAATTGATTTTTAGAATTAATAGAAATATAAATTATGGATTGCAAAGAATAACTTATTTAGAATTTTTAAATTAATGAAATTAGTTTTCGAACTTCGAAATATATTACAATGATGAAAATATAATACAAGAATTATTATTAAAGCTAGAAAGTGAAAATTTATAAACTCGAGGGATTTATTAAGTATAATAAAATAGTGATTATTTAATATAAAAATTAATGTACACGCATGGCATGCCACGTGGCATGTGATACACATGTGGCATGACACGTGTTACAAATGTACACGTGTGGCATGACACATGTCGTTACCGCATTTAACCCGCTCAACTTTACATATGATGATATGATGATATGATGTGATATGATATATGATATGATGATATGATATTCTATTTCATCTTATTTTTTATCATTGAAAAATATAATGATCAAAATTAAATAACATAAAAATGATTCGTGCATCGCACGGCTGTGATACACGCTAGTCTACTAATATTTTAAGATTCACACTAGTAGAAAATATTATATCAATTAAAAAAAATTATACTAACCTTTATTGATATGAATCACCACACTAGCAAAAAATATCGATCCAGGCCATTGGGGTATAAATTTTGGGTGATTTCCCAGTTTCTGTAGATAAGTTGTAAGTCATTCCTCTATATGCTTTTTTATTGTGCATTTTCCCAAATAAAGTCAACCGGAATAGGTTACTCCGTTTCTAGTTTTATTTTTTATCTGAACGGAGTAGGGAAATCCGTGAAATCCGTGTTTGAGGGAGAAGATAAGTGAACAGAGTAGGGAAATCCATTTCCTCTTTTGTACTGGTATTTTTTTAAAATTTCTTCTGTTATTAAAGCACCTTCTTCCTCTTTTGTATTTTTATAATTTACTCAATAAATTATAAGACTTAAAAATAAAATATTTTTCTTTATCACTAAAATATTTTTGTTCATAAAATATATTTTTTGATAATTTTATTTATCATTAAATAAAAAATACAATAATAAAATTTAAAAGTAAAACTACTATTTATTGACTTTAAGCAAACTTTATACAATGAAATTAAAAGAAGAAGAAAAAATACAAAAAATTTAATGATAAAGTACATATAACAATCTATTCTTTAAAACAAGATTGCATAAAATGTACGTAGTATTAAACAAAAGGAAAATACTATAGATAATGACTACATGTACCACATCGTGTCCTACGTCGATTGCATTGTGGTCGAAGATCCAGATCCCGTTCATCCTCCACGGTAACGTTACCGAACGTTTGAGAGATCACCGATGGTGTAGTGCTGGAGAGATATTGCCCAAACTCATTCGTGAGCTAACTTTCTTGAGTAAACATATAATCTCCAGACGTGACTCGTGACTTTCTTGACGTATAGTCTTTGATTGAACAGTGTCTTGGCTTGTATCTACTAAAATCAATAATTGAATAGTGATTAGATTATGTACAGTGACCTTCTTCTAGATTTCATATTTTGTCCATGGATGAACAGAGGAAGGTCACAAATCCTCCTATATAAATATGATTAGACCTATTAAAAAATGACCCGACATATTTTTGACCCGAGACCCGACCCGAAAATACTGGATTTTGAACAAAGATTTTGCTGACCGAACCCGAAATGACCCGCTAAAATGGGTCAAACCCGACCGAACCTGAACCCGACCTGACCGACCCGTTAATCTAAGATATTTTCAGAATCATACATTTTAATATGAAATATAATGTTATAAAAATAACATTATGATTATATTTCTTTGCTTACTACTCATTTTTTGTGTATATATTTATAACATCATAACAAGTTTTATTGATGTCGCATACTTATCTTACATTGTTTCAAAATTTCTACATATTTAATTTTTTTACTCGTAATATTGACATTAAGTCATGAAAATTACTTAAAATTTCAAAAAAATAAACGAAACTCATAACCCGTTGGGTCAACCCAAACCCGATGACACTGGGTCATGAACATGTACTTATCAACCCGAACCCGAACTTAACTGAACCTGAAGTAACCAGAACCCAAGATGACCGAACCTGGACCCGACCTGACCGACCGATTTGTCAGGTGTAAATATGATGATTATGGATAGAGGAGGGGATCCAAGTTTTATCTCACTAAAAGTACACTCTTGACACAGAGTAAGAAATTAATTCGGATTGAGGAGATTTATCCGGTCTAGGTCATACTTTGTGTTTTTGTTGTGTGTGTTTTATTACGGGTCGCGTGTATCCAGGTCAAACCCGGTCAACCCACCTAGCTATATTTACACCATCAACACCTATGTTCTCCGGGTTGGAGAACTAAAATGTATTGTGAAATAGGTCCCGGATGAACATCCATTTGTTTCAAAGATTAAAACATAACAATTTATTCATTTTAATAACAATTTGTTTGACACAAACATAACAAAAAAATTCATTTGATAAAAAACATAAACTAATTAATTAAGTTAAAAATTATCTTACAATCTCATTATTAAAAAATTTCCAAATTTTAGTTCAAAATTAAATTCTAAAATTCAAAATCTTTAAAAGTAAATAATATATCTAACAATTAGTATAAAAAATTTCATGGGGATGAGATAAGGTGTGTTGGGTGGATGGGGATGAGATAAGGTCTGCAAATTTTTAGAAAGGGTCTTGATTCAAACATTGACCTTATTGCTCCGGTCTAACATTTGACCTTATTGCTCCGGTCTTGATTCAAACATTGTTTTACACTTAAGAAATACTCTACGCTTTGGGAATAATAGGATTGTGATACACTAAAGATGACAACATTTGGAATGAATAGCATCCTTGTTAAATGTTACAAACATCCAAATGTTGCAAATAAGGTTGCTACAAAGATGACAAAATTAGTCAAGATGGTGTTCTGACTCATGAAAAGGACGCCTGTTAAAAAATGTGAAGTTGCAAGAATGAAATTTAATTACCGTTGAATTTCACCATAACTGGTGAAGTAAAAATTGGTACTAGATTAAGAACTTTAAGGTGAGTACTTTTTCCAAATCACTAATATTAATTTTAATTATTACAACTCTCTTTTTCATTGTTCTTGCAAACACATAATACAAAATCAAAATTATGACCATTGATACTGCACAAACTCTAGGAAGTAGGAACACACTACAAAAAAACACACACAAAGTCACAAAACATTAAATTTAATCGGGAACTAAAATCTGTGCAACACACGTAATAATGCTTGTGTGTGGGTATTGTAACTTCTGACTGCAGTTTACTAATTAGACTTGCATATTTACATTTGTTTCAGCGGGTGGGATTCCCTCACTCACTATCACAACTGGGAAGTGCAATGTCCCACACATGTACTTAACGTCTACTTGTTTTTCCTGCATTTTTCATTTATTGGTTTTCTCCAAACATGAATTTTGGAGTACGATGTAAAAGGATCTGATCATATTGAATTTGAATTGGAACTGTTATCGAGCACCCTGGGCAGCCGGAGTGATATATGTCTGTGCAACATTACCAATATTAACTTTCTTTCATAAAATGTCCCTTGAAGTTGCTTTTCCTTTTTTTTTTTTTGATTTATTACATCAGATGAACTGGTTTCTTGGTGGAACAGATAATTAAAATCTAACAGGCAGGAATTTTTTTAGTTCATTTTTCACCTTTTCATTTTCCGTCGTCTATCTTTGCACGCCTACAGTGATACCAACATAAACCATGTGTGTTCCTTCGTGAGTTGAATTTGATGATTTGTAAATTTTACAAGTAATGAACAATTGAACATGTAATATGCAATTATGTGCCAGGTAAAGAAATATTTGGTAGGAATTGTAATTGTTCGATTGCCAATATCTTGATAGTTTCTTTTTTCCTTCTTAGTTTGAGTTCTATCTGATTGCTAACCTCTAACTTTTTAGGCAAATAACAACAACACTTTATTAGTGAAGTTCCCCCTTTTGCTTTGAGATTTACAAGTATTGCCTTTTATACACTCTGTACTTAATGTTTGCCCTTTGGTACAATGGTTTAGAATGATAAAAAACATTTCTTCTATGGGCTCCACATTTCTCCCTTCATGCTTCCCTGTGTTGCCTGATATGGCCTCGGACTGCTTTATATTTTTATTCCAGTAAAAATGAGAAGGGAAACCAATTAAACACCCAATATGCAGCATCCCGTTGAAGCATAATTCAAGAAATGGAGTGGAAAAACACGGTTTCACTGATATCAAGCTCCTAATGTGCACAATCACAATTGAGGCATAATTCATGAAATGGATAAACATGGGATTCCCTACTACATCCTCATTGGATCCTATTTAATCCCTATTTTATTTTGACAGTGAGGGCGTATCGGCATTAGAATTTGATCGAAAGGTAATCATCAAATTATATGAATCTAGACTGTGATTTTATAAACATTTTCTAGTCATTTTTTAAAATTTATTATGACTTTTACTGTTTATATTTTGTTTTTCCACTTTATCTTGTCATAATTATATTCCCTCCGTCCCAAATTAATCCTCCATATTTTTTTTTGGAGAGTCCCAAATCAAACCTCCTCTTTCATTTTTGGAAATTTTTTCGCGGCCTCACCTTTTTTCTCTCTCCTTTGCATCACTTTCAACCATACGGTTTCACTTTTCTTGAACTTCGTGTAAAGTCAAACCAAGACTATTAATTTGGGGCGGAGGGAGTAATAAGAATGAGTCTACCCACATACATGTATGGTTTTTAATTTTTCGGTTTGTGATATGGCTGATTTTGGTTGTGTATGAGGTTAAATGTCGCTCGATAATTTTTTTTTTTGGGGGGGGGGGGGGTTAGTTTAGCTTGTTTGAGAGCCAAATGAGGGGAGTGGACATCGAAACTTAGGGGCAAATCTGTGATATGGCCATGTGTGTGTGTTGAGTGTTGTAAGACCTGGGAGTGTGTCCGATTGCTTGATTTTGATAGATGAAAACAGGTGCCACAAGTTCCACAACTACTACTATTACCACCACCACCACCACTACAACAACTACTACGACTAGTTTAGATTTTGATAAGAATTCTTTTTGTATAAGTTTAGATTTCTTGAAAGGCTTGATTACTATGCTCTGCAGGGGTTTGTTTGGCATCGGTAACAAACACAGGTTGCTTAAAGGTGCATGATTTTGAAGATCTATTCTACGAAGGTAATGAAATGTCATATATTTTTCTTGAGATTTCAATATATTTCCACCAATGTTAAAAAGTTTGATGAAGGTGAGATTGGTTTCTGGTAAGCAACGATGGTACATAGCAAGGAGTCCAATATGGTGTTAAATGTATGCTGATCAAGTTGATTGGCTATGATTAGCGAGTGTCATACTGTCATTGAGTCATGGACCAGTGCTTCAGGCTGAACTCTCATTTTATTGTAGTCTTCATTATGACATCCACTGCACCATATACTTCTATTATAGTTCATATCAATAGACTGTACCTCCTGTCCTCATCCACGTTGTTTGTCCCCACAACTATTATTCATGGGTTATGGATTTTGGATTCAAGTGCCCCATACCCCTATTCTGTACCTTAAAGACTAAAACCAGTGTGCGAGCTGGTCAAACTCTCCCATCAATTTTGTTACCATCCAAGTATGTCTTATTCTTAATATGTCCACGTCTCTTTCATCATTGTCTTTGTTAATTGTTAAACCCAAAACCTTTGTAGTTTTGTTACCTTTTCTTGTGATTTGGTGACTATCTAAGATCGTACCAAACGGAAAGTATTGTTAGTTGGACATTAACAGCTCGTAAACCGAAACAGGAAGACTAATAACAAAATAGAAAGTGAAAACCTTTTTATATACTTCTAAAGATGATAACAAATACTTTCTCCGTCCCAAAAAGATTTACATGTTTCAAAAAATTACGTCCTACAATTTCCTACTCATTTCAATTAAAAAACCACTTTTACCCCTTACCTTTTCAAACCCTACCTATCACATCATACCTTTTCCTTAATAATCTACACATCACATCCTACTTTTACCCATCACATCAGAGGTATTTTTGGAAAGTCAACACAAAATTATCCCTTCCTTAACTTTAACTTTAGTCAAAATGAGTAACACTTTATGGGACAGAGAGAGTAATATCTATAAACCTAGGCACTATTCATTTGAGTTGGATGACTAGGAGTAAGACAAACTAGAAGTAGGAAAGACCGGGAAGTAGATGTTAAAAAGAAAATGAAAGTTGGAATAAATTCGAAGAAGTTAATAAACATTAGAAATGGTTGGGGAGAGTTGGAAAAATCGAAATGAGTTGAAATAAGTCATAAAATTTTATATTGCATATATATTCTTTATAAATTTCATATTTTTTATTAAAACAAATCATGCCCCCTTTTGTTTCAATTTCAGTGACACAAGAAACTCTGTCAAAAGCTTTGGACATGTCGAGCTTAATGGCTATGTTACCTCCCCTTGTCTTGTAGTTGAGATTTTGGATAAGTTCCTAGGCAGTGAGGATTTGATCATGAATCTGCTTGCCTTTAACAAACCCTCCTGTTCCTCAGAGATTAGGATTGGCAAGAGGTTGCCTAATCTCATGGATAGAATTTTTGTGTTCACTTTAGCAATGAATTTGGAGAGACAAATAGGCCTGTAATCATCAAAGTTGGTGGGGTTATCTTTCTTAGGAATCAGTATAATGGTGCTTTCTCCGAGGGCTTTAGGAATAGTGATTCCTTGGAAAAATTCCTGGACAGCTCTGACCACATCCTCCTTAATAATGTCCCATCATTATTTGTAGAATTCACCATTAAATCCATCAGGACCTGCATCACTTTGAGGGTCCAGATTCCAAATGGCTTCTTTGACCTCTTGCTCACTAGGGAGTTGTGAGAGCATGTTGTTATCCTCATGAATTAGGAGATTTGGGATGTGTAGAAGGAACTCCTCTGTGTTAACACTCTCCTTCTTAGAGTAAAGCTGCTGAAAGTAGGTGTTTGCTTCATTAAACAAGTCTTCTTTTTCCTGAATCTAATTCCCATCAGTTGATCTAATTTTCTGGATTTTTTGATAAAACCTTCTCTCTTTAACAAGGGAGTGGAAGAAAGAGGAGTTACAATCTCCTTCTTTAATCCATTTAATGCTAGCCTTTTGTTTCCAGTATGAAAACTCATTATTAGTGGCTTGAATAAGAAGAGCTCTTTGGTGATGAAGATGGGTCCTATTAGCAGTAGAGGGAAGTTCATCATAGAGGAGTTCTGCTTCTTGGATTGAACTTTCCAACTCCTTAAGTTTGTTGAAAATGTTTCCAAAAGTTGCCTTGTTCCAAGTCTTAAGTGCTATTTTAAGTAAAGACAGCTTGCTCATAAGCCCCCTCATGCATCCCCCCTGAGTATTTACCCCAGTTACGGGTGATGACTGATGAGCTCTATAAAGGTTGGGTGGTTAGTCCAACAGTTAAGGAACCGTAAGGGTCTAGAGCCATTGAAGGGGGGGATTAGCTGCCTTTACTAGAATAGGACAGTGACCAGAGGTACATCTAGAAAGATGTATGGAAGTGAGATCATTGTAGATGTGAAGGAAAGTGTTGTTGACAAACACCCTGTCAAGCCTTTTCCAGACCCTGCCAACAGATCTGACTCCAGTTCAAGTAAAGGGATTACATGTGAAAGGAGGTGAAAATAGCCCACTTTCCATGGTGCAATGGTCGAATTCTTGGATGCCTTGGAGGTTAGGGGGACTTTTTCCTTTGTAATGATCCATGGAGGAGATGGTATTGAAATCCCCTCCTAGGATCCATGCCTGGCTTTCATTTTTGCTGTGAGTATTGATTGAGTCCCAAAGACTTTTCCTCTCTTCATTAGTGTGTTTGCCATAGATGCCACTTAAGGAGAACTCCTGTCTGGTGGAGTGGCAAGTAAGGTGAGGCTGGTGAGCAGTGAGCATTTGGTCTGTATCAGTGTGGAATTTGTAGTTAAAGCAGGTGTCATTCCACATTAACCAGATTTTGTTGTTAGCAGAGCTGATGGAGTTGGTGAAACCAAGTTCTAGTTGGAACTTGGTTAATTTCTTGTTGGAAGATTTAGGCTCAATAATGAATGCAATGGGGACTTTGTGTTGTTGGATGATAATGGCTAGTCTCTGAAGTTTAGAGGCTATGCCATTTATATTCCAAAAAAGGCAGATCATTTAAAACTGGGTGGAAAAGAACTGATTGTTGGTTGTTTTTCAAGCAATCTTTTCGATGATCTTCTATAGAATGTAATGATGCGCTCTTCTTCTTGCAGGTTGGTTTGGTTGAAGTTCTTTTGATTGGGGTAGTTCCTCATCAGATAGCTGGGTGAATTTTTGGGAGGCATTGGGAAGGAGGGAATCATCTTTTGAATGGTAATTGGTTTTCTTGCAGATTTCCAGGATTTCCTCTTGGAGAAAAGATTATTCGAGTTCATAGAGCTCCTCAGAAGATGTTGGGGTACAGGTGGTTGATGTCAGGTCTCCTCAAGTTTGAGGAGGATTGGATTGGTCTCCATTGAGAATGAAGAATTTGTTGATCTGGGGCTGAGATATGTCGACTTCAACACAGACTCTTGCAATGGATGGCCTTCCAAAATTCTCTGTGGTGCTATCTAGTTTGATAGGTGAGCCAAATACTCTTGCTATTTGCATCAATATATAAGTTGCAGATTTTTTTTTTTTTTTGAAGCCATCATTTTAAGTAACCATTGGTCAGATTTGTATTTTCAAAAGCGTCACACTATCACCTTTCGGAAATGATAAACTCATTCTTCCTCCAATTACGAGAATTTTTTTTTCTCCATCTACTATAAACATATAGCATTCAATTGAATATACTTTGATTTGTAGGTAGTAGGATATTTATGTGCTTTTGTCTGTGTATGGAATGAATGTTTGGAACTTCGTAGTGACATAAAAAAACACTGCTTTTGCTATAAGTGAACTTATGAATATGAGACCCATCATCCAAACTGCCCATTCATCCTTTACCCTGCCCGTGAGTTTAGTAAGTGAGCATGAATTTATATATTATTCAATATCTTTTTTTTTTTTAAAAGTCAATATCTTAGAACTTCATATTTTACACATTTCACCAAGTGTGAGACTGTTTTGCTTTAGATTTACTTGAAACATCATTAGCTTGAAGCCTAATCTTTTGAAAATGTTACTATGTTTTTATGGTTTCTGCAGGTGCTGCGAAAGAAGCCTACAATCAGCATTACTGGATATACAGCCCAAAAAGGTTTATCAGATATTGCTTTTTCTTCAAGTTACACTTCAAGGTTGGACAGATATATATTACTCCCTCCATCCTGTAGAATGTAGATGTTGTCCTGTACTTAAGTGGAACCTATGCCTTAGATTAAGCAATGAAATTCTTATTGCATAGTGTAAGCACATACTCCCTCCGTCCGCCTAAGATGTTCTCATTTTGACTTTTGGTGGTTTTTAAGGAGAGTTGAAAAAAGGTGAAAATTTACCATAATACCCTTAATGAAAAATGGGTGGAATGTATTAAATGAGGTGGGTGAGGTGTAATAAATAAAGTAAGTGGGGGTAGTTGTGGTATTTTACTTGTTAAAAAATGAAATGAGAAGATCTATTGTGGACAAAGAAAAAGGGCTATTGGGAAGATCTATGGTGGACAGAGGGAGTATTAATTAGCTCATATGATGAACTATATTTACAATTTATTCCATGAAGTTAATTATAAGCGTGTTAGCTTGGTAGAGCAACTCCAACCGGCCATGTAAAAATTAGTAAAGTCTAAAAAATAGAAGGTTTAACATTTACTGTACAAAAGTTACGCCTCCAACGGGTAGTGCATTAAATAGAAAGTATGTAGTGTATATTCCATTTCTCATCTTCCAAATATGCACGGTACTGTAGATAGTGGAAATTGGGTTTCTCTCGTTCGCTCCTGTTTTCTCCGCTTTCCGACCGCCAATTCTTTTTCTCCTTCGTTGCTCTTCTCCTTCCCAGTATGCAGGTTAGAATTGGAGCCTCCTAGTAAGATGAATTCTAGCTATATCTTCTTTGGTTAATTTTGCTAATTTGTGCCCATTGCATTCGACATTAGCGATAGGGTTACCTGCTCTTGCTTGTCTTTTTCTTTTTCCTCTTCCTTAGCTTAGAACGTTCCTCTTTCCCCTTTTGTGATGTGGACGGATTAAAATCCTCAGGGATGATGCTCTGAGAAGGTGTTGATGATGGATTCATGTGATTGATGAAATATATCCATATTATTTTACACGGAGTAATTGTCAAATCACCCTTGGAACCGATGGCAAGAAAGGATATCAAACGAGCCTTCGGGTTGTTGAAGGTGATTGACACATTCTAGATCGTCCGTCCAAGTGTTATTCTCAAACGAAAATGAAAAATATCATGTGCATATGTATTATGCTTCATAATATAATTATAGAGGACAATATGTTTGTATTTTGCCATTACAATCCGTGCAAGGAGGTTCCTATATACGAATAAATCGACAAAAAAAAAAGAAACAAAGAAACCGCCATGATATTTAAAATCGAGAGATTCACAATGCACTAATGGCGTATTTGATTGAACATATTTTTTTTCATTCAAGTAATCAATAATTTTTTTCATAATGTAATATAATTTTTAACTTTTTTAGCTAAGTTTTTATTATTAAAATGTTTTTTTATTGATTTAATTTTTTAATGAATTATTATTGTTTAATTTGCTTTTACAAAATGTGTTAAAAGATTTTAAATAATAAGGTTCGAAGACCCATTTTGAAACCCCCATGCCTTGAAAGCCATTTTTAATGAAACGGTGAGGTAAGTTTAGAGAGAGTGATAGAGAAAAAATTTGAAACCATGTCTTAAAATTTGACATGATGTTAACCTATTATCCAATTATCCTATAACAGTATTAATTCGTACCTCTTGGGAAGAGACAACTTAACATCAAATAAAAGGGGGAATTAAAATTGATGTGACAGAGAAAGTATGAATCACAGATTTAAAACTCTGAGCTTCATTGATATTCCTTGTGCCCTTACTTATTCTTAAAAAGTTTTGAATACCGAATAATTCATAAAGTCTGACTTAAACATGTTGCCGATCTGACATGATGTCGACCTATTATCATAATCTCTATAACAATATTACTTCCCGGTGGGCGTTATGCAATTAGTATAGTAAGAGGTGTTAAGAGGATAGGACCAAAGCTCGATTCCTAACAATTATGCTGCAAAACAACTATGCTAAAAATTAAGATGCGGCTCATCCTTTATAAGAGTATTACTTAGGCTTTAATCTGTACGCATGATCTGATTGAATCTGATTTGAATTCTTAAAGTGTTGATCAGATCTGATTGGGTCTGATTTGATTTGATTAAGTCTAATCTGATTTGATTGGATCTGATATGATTGAGTCTAATCTGATTTAATTGATCTGATCTGATTAAATCTGATTTTATCTAATTAGATTTGGTATACATGAATTCAATTTGATTTAAATTAAACTTAAAATAATTACAAAATTTAATAGTTTTAAAGTATTACAATTCATATATAATAAAAAAAATCAGCTAATCATTGATATATTTAAACTTTTTTGAAATATTAAACATCTTTTCAATATCACTAGCTACTTTTGAATTTTTGTGAAAACTAAATAATCGACGTTAAAAATAACCAGATATTGGAAAATTTTTCAAAATATACATTCTACATGCATACTATATAATACTACGTAATATATTTCATGTTACAAATTAAATATCATATAAAATCTTAAACACTAATATTTCTTTTTAGGTATAACATATTTATGGTTTTGAAAACTAAGTCTTGTTATTCTAAAACAACTCTTTTTAAAATATGAAAAATACAACTTTTTAAGTTTTAAGTTTGCTTTCATACACCATTCTTACATGCTAAACAATTATTAAAAATAATGTCTTGTAGTTGAAAAATAATAATAATAATAATAATAATATAACAATAACAATAGTTAAAATTATAATATTAATTAAAATTTAGGTGTGTGTAGCTTTAAATGAAGTAATGCGATTTAATCAAATAATAATAATTATTATATAATCCTTGAAAAATATAAATATTTTTTAATATTTTTTGTGATTTGATATTCTTAGATTTGATTTGGTCTGAACTAATCTGATTGGATCATGATTTGATAGAGTGATCTGATTCGATATGATTAAATCAAATATAATCTGATCTGATTTTAATAACAATAAATAATAAGTAAAAAAAGTCATACGAAACGGTTATAAGCTCCGTTCCGTTGAACTTATTTTTTTCTGATCTGATCTGATTATAATAAGTTCGGATCTGGTTTGATCTAATTTGATCTGATCTGATCTGATTGGATCTGATTTGATCTGATGGGATCTGATCTGATTAAAAAAAACGTTCTGTGCCTCCTCAATGAGACGGGTGTTCTTAAATAATCTACGGTATCTTTTGCTGTGAAGACTTAAGACCCATTTTATGTAAAACACCCGTGACCGGCCCGGAATCGATCAGTCCCTCGTGACTCACATTTCGTTCTCCAAACTTCGTGACTCATAGGAAAACGAATAATTGGCTCTCAAACTCCTCTTAGTAGCCGTCGCCGTCGCCGTCGCAGCCATTTCCATTTGCACAAGAAGCTATCCGATTTAGAGGTAAACCTAATGTGCGAATTAGTATTGCAATTGGTCCGATTATTAAAACAATCTAACTAGGTTTAGTTTGATTTCATACACACACATACATACTAGCTTTATTTCGTGCTATGCACGAATTATAGTGGCCGATATGTGTTTTTTATAAATTAATTGAAATGATCATATCTATGAATATATGAAATTACTTTCCAAAATATGATTGGTTGTTTTATTTGAAAAGATGCTCGAGGGAAGGGATGATTTCAAAAACATGCTTTATGATTATATTTATGATGTAAAAAAGAGGATATGATAGGTTGCTGGGTAGAATAGAGAGATGCATAACCGGAGAAATTGGGCTTGAAACAAATTCACAATGCCTAAGCATTGGTTTGTGTTATCGTTGTTCCTTAAAGAAATACTGCAAATCAGAGTAAGGTTTAGTAAGTTTATTCAAATTAATGTGGCTAGAGTAACTTGATGCATTATTAATGATTTTGGTATTATGAATGGAATAAATTCAGTTTAAATAAACGGCACTTAAATTGTTTTGAAGCATTTCAAGAGTAAGAAAGAAGAAAGAGTTAACATCTCAAAAATTTACTATTATTTTAGAAACAATGTGAACTACAAACTTTAATTGAATCAAAGTCCTGATTAGACTGGTTTCATTGGGAAAGTGATATGATTGGATATCGTGTCAGAAAGTACATCGTGAATTATGTAAAAGAAGCAGAAAATTACTCCGAATACCTTTGATTTTCTAGTAATGACTCTCAGGTCCCATATTATCAAAAGTATACTCTGAGGTATCCTCAATTTTCTAATAAGAACTCTCAGGTCCCACATTATTTGAAATATACTTACTACAAGGGTCCTTAAAATTTGTGATAATATACTCCTTAGGTACATTCCATCTATTTGATCGGTAGGATTAAAAGTTTTGGTAATTTGACAAATACTAATTGTAACTTCATAATCATTATTTTATTAAATTTAAATAAAATCCTTCAGTTTACTTTCTCAAAGTAAAATAACTTTCAATCCTGACGCCTAAATGGATGGAATGTATCCTCGAAGTATCATATCACAAATTTTAAGCATTCTGAAGTATATTTCTGATAATATGGGACCGGAAAACTCTTTGCAAAAAAATTTGAGGTACCTCGGAGTAAATAATGTGGGACGTGGGAGTCATTACCAAAAAATCGAGGATACCTTGAAGCAACTTTCTGTAAAAAGAAGTGCATTATCTTGTCTAAAAATAACAAAAACAATTAACCCAATGGACTGGTCATAAATCTCTATTTCATTAAGTTCATCAGTGCACACAATAGAAGGAAAAATATATTTTTCACTCTCATAGAAAGAGACACAAAAAGTTAATATGTACTCGTATTTCATTAAGACAAATTCACAAACACAAATCACATAATTTTTTGTTCACAACAATCCTCACTATTTACAAAAGCAAGATGATTTTATGGGCAGAATTGGAAAGTATTATCGGGCAAGCAGTTTAATAAATTTACCTATTTTAATTTTTTAATTTAATCAGATTCAAGCTGTAGTTACACAATTTACTTATTTATTTTTTTGTTCTAATTAAAAATAGTAACCAAATTAGTGGCCTAATTAATTAATAGGAGTTGCAGGCACAAGCTATGATCAAAATTTCAGTTTCATGTGAACTAATGAATACCATAAAAAATTATTGCAATATGATGTAGATAGTGTGATATTGAATTAATTTAATATTAATAAATAAAAATACCAACACACAAAGCCATATTGAGTTCTAATTGTAGTGTTTGTGTGTATTTATTGATTACAAAAATTATTTGCATACACCATCTATCCCAAATTAAATTATAATTTTCACATTACGAAGTAAAACTTCTTATTTTTTGAAATTATTTTATTTAAAAATTGGTATAAGAATAAAAAACAATTTACATAATAAAAACTACGTCAAAAGTTCTACAAGAAAAGGTGACACAAATATTTTATCTTATCAAGTAATCAATGAAAACGCAAAAATAAATAAAAAATATTGAGAGGTGTGAGATAAAATTTTCAACCAACTTGGGGAAAGAACGGGTATTATTTTGATTATTGTGCATCACGGCTAAAATCTTGTTACATTTACCATGTAAACCTTTTACAATTAGCAAGTTGGCACATAATTTCCCATGTAAAAAAAAAGAAAAACAAAGAAATGAAAAGGATGAGTGAAATATTAGTGTTATAAAAAAATTAAGTCGTCAAATTAAAGGAAAAAACATACTTTTGTTAAGTGAACACAATGGAGAAGAATAAGATTTAGCTGCCCCATTATTCTCCAATCTATATATATATATATATATATATATATATATATATATACACACACACACACACACACACAAAAGAACTCCAAAAATAATGATGGAGTCCCACTTTCACAGTTTGAAAAATCAATAAGATTTGGCAACTCCATTTTCTCCTTGCATTGTTGCGGAGTAAAAAAATTCCAAAATGAATATAATTGTGAATTTATGGCAATAGTAATGAGAGTGAAGCTAATGGAGTTAACGGCGTAAGGGTAAAGTAGGAATGAAAAAGTTGTGTACCATCTATAAAGCATGAATGTACTTCTTTTTTGGATGGAAAAAGTGCAAAAATTATGGAGTGCCTAACTTTCTTTGACATTTATATATATTAGAAGATATATATATATATATATATATATATATATATATATATATATATATATATATATATATATATATATATATATATATATATATATATATATGTCTGTGTGTGTGTGTGGTAGATTAAGCAAATTCTATGAGGAAAATAAGCATTTCTTTACTACTTAAATAAGCGAAACATGAATTGAACCCATGGTTTAGCCTCAGTTTCAATCATCTTTCTTTTTGGGTCTCATAACATCTCTTATCCTGTATTTCATCCTAATATACTGCAGTGAATCTTTCTTTGCATCAATCATGGATGCCATTGAGCTGCTAAATCGTTTACCCTATGTTTCACTACAAGATGTGGAGAAGTTTTTCCATTCCCGTGAAACTCCCAGCAAGATCGATTGCATTGTGTATGCCATTAAGCTTCTAACAAAGTATCCCTATGCTACATCAAAAGATGTGAAGCAGTTTTTCCTCAGTAGTCACACTCTAACGACTATTGATAGGGTTATTCCTTATGTCAGTAAGGCACGAGAAACCGAAAAAATTAAAGGCAGAGAGCATGTTGAAGCTGGGCCTTTACTTCATCTGCATTTGGTACATATACAACCAAAAGAAGCACTAAAAAACAGACCACTCATTGTATTTGGTACAATTCGTGTTAAGTATCGAAATATCAGGAGTGGAGAACTGATGCAGCTTGATATTTACAATCGGAGTGCCGATGATGGCGACCGCATAAGCCCAAGTGGTGGTAATTTAACTCTTGATTGGCCTGATACTTTCTGTAATCATCAAGATTTGTGGATGAGATTGCACGGAACAACTATAGGAGTGTATCTCTATCTCAAAATTGGGGATAAGGTTGTTCCGTTTACTCGTGAGGAAATTTTGGTGGGGGATGCAACCAAAGGTGATTTTGAAGAAGTAAGATCAAGGGCATTTCATGGCACAATTTGCTCAGCTACCTTGATTTATATCGCCATGCCATTTGCTGCTCTTTGCCGAGTGCATGTTGGATTCACTAGCAAAGACCAGGGCCGAGTTGTTAATGTTGCTGGAAAAATTGTTGCGCGATATAAGGGCACTTATGGCAACTATAATTCAGAAGCGTGTGTTCTTTTTGAGAAACAGAATGACTTTGAACCAGTGCAAATGAAGAATAACCTGAGTATGTCGAGAACATGGCTGGGGTTGCCAGCATATTCGTCACTTGAAATTGATCTGGACTTGAGGGACTTCAACACAAACAGAGAGCTTGTTAGAAAAAGAGTTGAATTGTTTGACTGGAATGGTGCATATGCAGGTAAATATGCAAAGGTGGTGGATGATCTTGCCATTATTGTTGATGCAGGATTGTTTCCATACCCACATGATGGGCGCAATGGGTGTTGTTTGGACAAAGACGAGGTAATTCAAATTTTGAAAGTAATAACTTTATGCAAAAAGAAGCCGTCATTGCTTAAGCCACTAAATCTTGGAACACTATACACTAAAGATAAACATAGGAGTAATAAAAAACTATGGAGAAATGAATTTGGTATTTGAATTCAAATGTTTTTCCATTCCCAGTGGACCTCAAATACTCATTCTGATAATGTTTTAGGGCAAGTATTGTTAGAAGGCAACATATTACATTAAAATAGCATTGCATTAGTTTCCTATATTTAATTTTACATCAATCTTTGGCTAACATTTTCTCATTTTTTTTAGTCTAATAATGAATCATCATCTTCCAACAATGGCAACCCTTGGTATGTGATTAAACCATTTTTGCACTTTCAATATATTAGCTTAGACACTTTTTAAGGTGTTCATTGGTTTATAAATTTATCTTTTCAATTAGGTTTCATGATCAATGTCAAGAAAGTATACCGAAACCATCAAGATTAGCAGAATTCTACTCAATCTTTATTGGTTGTAAAAGTTTGACGGCATTGAATATTATGGGGACAGTGGAATTCTCTTCTGATGGTAATACTCAGTACCTCTTCAAGAGTACTGGTGATGATGACCCCACAGAAGTAGAAGATGCACAGAAAGTTTTGCCGTTGCTCGATGTGTGTGGCAGTTTTCACGAGAGTAGGACACTTGAATTGAAGGTCAATCTAGAAGATCATTGTGGGAAATTTCAGAATAGAGGGTTTGCTGCTTATAATCTTGGATTCGATAACCAAAATCCGTCATATAACACCCAAATATGTTCTGTTTTCCCGGGCAAAGATGGGTTTTGCGCATTGCATTACTCCGTGTTCTCAAGAGCTTGTAAAGCAAACATTGAGATCTTCTTCAGGATCAAGAGTGATCATTCCAGGGTTGGCATGATCTATGGCAGCGCAATTGCGCAATATAGCAACTTTGACTACTCAACAAAGTTCAAGAGAGATTATTTCCGGAGCGTGCTGTTCAAGAGGACTGATAAGGATTCAGTACAATTAGGAAGGGGTGGGAGAGTGCCACTTTCTCGATGTGCAGTTGTGGTGCCAATGGATTCGTCCCTCATTATTGAAGTAGATTTTTGTGGCATATATCTGAAAGATCATCTATCATGCACAGAAAAGTTTAAGATTGGGCATTGCTGCTTTAAAACAGAAACAAATGATTATGAACTCAGCATCAGGTTGACTTGGAGTGATGGTAAGCAATTGTATTTTTTTTGTTATACTCTACTTTTCGAGCTTTTGCAGTTTCAGTTATTTAGCTTACAAGAAGACGCCCCAAAACTTGCCTGGTCTCTCTAGTGCTAGAGTCCCACATATGATTATTTAATAAAGAATGATAGGTTAATAAGCTATGGAGTTTAACTACCCAATTAACATGTTTAATGTTGGTTGATTGAGGAGTCTTACAGCTAGGTCTTTTTGATAATCTTTAGTAGTTGGCTCTCACTTTGTGATGGATAAATCATGAGAAGCAAGTTACCTAATTATTTAATCTATTTGTAGCATTTAATGACCTTAGGACATATGATTGAAGGACTTCTTGAAAGCACCTGTACAATATTGTTTGATGATGAAGGGTAACTAGTGGAACTTATAGGAAAAAGTGCGTATGAGGATTCTAAGAAGTTTTGGGCATGAAATGCATCGAGAATCAAATGGAAGCAACCTCTCTCACCATTCACAATTGGTTCGCTCTTTGTGATGCTCGGTCTGTCTTTACTTTGACCAAGAACCAATTTTTTGACGACAAAGTGTTAACAATAAAATCTTGGAAAATGCATGATAAAGAATCTCGATTAATTGTGCAATATATTGGGTTTACTGCTGATGATTTTGTCATTATTGTTGATGCAGGAATGCATGATGGGTGGAGAGGTTTAGACAAAGACAAGGTATTTATTCTTTGATTGTAATAAAAATGTGCAAAAAGAAGTCCAAGAGTCCAACACGAGTTAGGTATATAATTGTAAAACACTATGCAGTGAAAATAAATAATATGATTAATAAAATTTAATTGAAAATTTACATAAATACTTTAAAGTTAGGACCATCTAGTACAATTACTGACAGAATTAATAGTGTACAAGAATACTCCCAAAAGATTACCCTCCACCAAAAAAATCAAATGACAACGAAGTTCATCCCTTTGTTACGTCTATGCTGATTTGGAGAGAGTGATGACAATAATCTAAGCAAAATGCAAGACTAAGGATCCCAATTCATTGCACAATGTATTTGGTTTGCTGTTGATTGTTTTGAAGTTATCGTTGATGCAGGATTGCAGGATGGGTGGAGTGATTCGGACACAGAGAAGGTATGTTTTTCTTTAGTCCTAAAATTTATGCGCTTCAAAAAAGAAGTTTAACATGAGTATAGTCATAAAATTACAGTGTAAAAAAATATTGCAGTATTCTACATTTAACTTTAGACGTCAATTGTTGTAGTCAATAGTCAACAAAAGTGAAGTAGAACTTTGTTTTCGTGAGTGAGAATTTGATGGATAATAGCAATATAGCATTTTGCAGGGTTGAAAAGTGGTGAGAATTTAGAGTCGTTTAATTATTTTAGGCTCTGCTTGGAATCCTGGAAAATAACTTTAAGAAAACGACTTCTGGAAAATGGATTATTTTCCTAAAATCATTTTCTATTCTGGTGTTTGGCCCAAAGTCTGAAAATCATCTAGTTCTGTTTGGCTAATCTCTGGAAAAGAAAATACTACTATATTATAATGCAAAAAAGTAAAAATCAAGAATCCTAAATCCATTGCATCGCAACCATATCCAAAATCCTATTCTACAACACATAGATTATACACATATACATTACATGTAGATATCGTCCAAGAAAAATTAAATACCAAGTATAGATTGAAAAGGGGATCTAGTTGTGATTCGAGTAATCTCCAAAATTAAACCACAGATGTATGAGCAATTGATGTCTGAGCATAGCTCAAACCCTACGACTTGTATATGAAATCTATCTGGTGTGGATTCTAGTTGCTATTCCACTTGATGGAATGAGAACAGCAAAGAATTGGCGAGAAAGAAAAGTAGAGAGGATGACACCTCGAAGAGAAACAGAGAAAGATGAAAGAAAGAAAAAGACGAAGTAGCCAGCTATGGAAAATGACTTCCAGGCTGTAAAAGGGGAAGTTGAATTCCGTATTTTAGACCTGATTTTCCTTTTGACCAATGGTTATTTTCTGCTGACTTCCATTTTCCAACCTTACCAAACATCAGAAAATAGGAAAATGACTTCCAGAAGTAATTTTCCTCCTTTTCAAACGAAGCCTTAATCTAAAAAACATTTCATTTACTTCTTACATTTTATGAAGTTCTGGGCATCAAGTGAATCTCAGTTGCGTACTTGTTGGCTCACAACACATCATTGAGTTGGGATTATACTAGGGTTGCTGTTTTGCATTTAAAAATAAAATGAGTATAAATACACTTGTTTGTCTATGGTAGAAAAAGTGGGGTATTGGCTTTTCGTGCCTCATAGAGTGCTTGTCGAGCTGTTACTGAACCTACAAGGATCTTCTCTTGTTGCTAACTCCGCTTATTTGCATTTTCCAGCCTCAAGCGAAAACAACATGATCAGCACAGTGGGGGGAGTGATTTAGATGAAGATGAGGTAATTCATTCTTTCAATGCAATAAAATTATGCACAAAGCAATAGAGATTTTAGACATAAAATTATAAAACACAAAAACGATTAATGCGAAAGGCACACGAATAATTCAGTCCCAAGTGTGGTCCGTCAGACAAAAATGTTACACAAGAATACTCCCTAGAGATTATCCATGCTATAAAGCTCCGATCATAATGAAATTCATCCTTTCGTTGTGCCTATGCTGTTTTTGGCAATTTTGTTTTTGTGACCTCACTGATTTGGCCACATGTTCGTAGCATGTTTTATAAATGTGAATTATTGGGAGTGCTACTGTAAGACGGTCCAGATTGCAGAGTATTCGTTTGTATTTTTAATCTCCCTTTTTTACTTTACACGGAATTTAGAATGTTAAACTGTGTAATTGATAGTTGTTTAAGAATTAAATGAGAGTAGGGGATTCATAAATGAGTGTAAAAATTGATCTGAAAATGTGGGCTGATCAATGAGGTGGGATAAAATATATTTTTGGATCATATTTTTTATGCTGATTATCTTATTGTTGTGCACTATTTGTTTTAGGAGTATTTTGGGAGTGATTTTGGGTCAATCCCTACACCTATGGACATGTCGCCGTAAGCATTTTATTAACCATTTGCAGCTTGCTATGATTAATTGATCGAAAGAAGTTAAAAAAACAATGCCTTGTTTGATTAATATGACATTTACATTATGTATTTATGGCGCTCTTTGAGTGTTGTCCTCTTTTATCCAAACATTTGTTGTTTCCACTAGTATTAACTACTCCATGTTCATTTTTGTCACTTTTCAAGGCGTTTTAATTCTATTGCGCATGTTTTAGCTAAGAACTCTTGAGGACAGAAACAATGTTTGGCCATCCGATCTGCCTGCATGTATTTCACACTTAATTCGTTAATGGCACGTTTTATTTTCCCTAAAAAAAACTACTCCATGCGTATTTAATACTCTCTCATTGCTACATGTTAAAGGACGTGCAAAATATTAATTTTTTTAAAATTATTTTATTTACAAATTGGTAGGAAAATAAAAAGTAAAAGTTACACTTAGAAAAATAAGTATATAATTAAAGTTTTTGTTTTTTTAAACCAAAACATATATTATAATTGATCTTTTATACAGAAGTTTTTTCATATTTTATTCATTATTATGAATTTTGAAGCCTGAAAATATTCAAAGTTATCATTGTTAAGCACAACATATCTACATTATGTTTGGTTCAAGGAGTTTTGATGGAAAAAAGAAAATCAATGTTTTACAAATTCACGGGTCATTTTTATGTTATATAATTCAGATCATTTTTCAATGATAAAAAATGTGATGCAATAGAATATAGAGATTATATTATTTTAAGGTATAGAATATCAATTTTTTACAAATTTCGAAAGACTTCTTTATATACTACATTATTTGTAGTCTTTGTAGGAGTATTGTCTTCATTGTATATCAGAATCTTAAATCCACTACGATTAGTTACTCTTGAAACTGCAACATAGAGTTCTCCAAAACTAAAACGTTAATCTATAAAATAATGTTGAACTAACCTCTGAGTCGTGGAAAACAATATCTAATGATTCCAGCCCTCGAGAATGAGTAGGAAGGTGGTAAACTCTAACTGCTCTTAGCTTCATCATCAATAATCCGGAAATTTCGTCAACATTTTTTAAGACGGTAATCATCTCCATGTTCGTACAAAAATGATGGTGGAGCACCTATCAATTTAAACACTCGTTTAATTTAAACACTCGTTGATTATCTTACTTATCTCGCCCGGTAAAGTAGCGTATTTATACTATATGAATTTCGGTGTTCCTTTATTATTAATTGGTAATAATTAATTACCAATTTAAATTACTTACTTTTTTAATAATTTCAAATATAAATTAATCACGTTAGTATTATTATTATATCTTTATATTCACGTTTGGAAAGTTTTCCATAAATGGGAATGAGTCAAAACCGTGTAACATTAATGACCCGTGGAAAAGAATTATTATTACTTTAAATTACTTACTATTGTAATTGTTTCCCATAACTAAGTTGGCCATTTTAACGTTTTTTACGGCACATTATTATTTAATTTAATTAATTATTGTAATTGACTCATTACCATTTTAAGTGAACAATTACAATTTTTTGCAATACCAAATGGGCGAAATTAATAAAAGTAAGCTTATAATAAAGACAAGTAGGTTAATAATTAATTACCAATTTAAATTACTCACCTTTTTAATCATTTCCAATTTAAATTAATCACGTTTAGAAAGTTTTCCATAAATGGGAATGAGTCAAAATCATGTAACATTAATAACCCGTGCAAAAGAATTATAATTACTTTAAATTACTTACCATTTTAATTGTATCCCATAGGTTGGCTATTTAAACGTTATTTTTTTATTACCATTTTTGTATACGTGTTAAAAATGTACATTACTCTATACGTATTTTCCTATTTTTAATTACAATTTTAAAATACATGGTTATATTAAAGGATAACATAATAATATATCTATTTTATTAGCCTTTCTTTATTATGATAATTAGATTTTTAATTATCTTTTTTATATACATACTTAATTACTGATACTATATTACCAAAGTAATTACCATTTTATTAGCCTTTCTTTATTATTGTAATTAGATTTTTAGTTACCTTTTTTATATACGTTTCTAATCGTTTATTACCAAAACACATGTTTATATTACGAAAACACGATTCTGTTACCATAAAATTACATGTATTAGCGTTTCTTTATTATGGTAATTAGATTTTTAATTATCTTTTTATAGACGTTAGTTATTACTTTATATTAAACATACGTACTTAATACTTTATATGCATTTTTTCATTCAAAATACATGTATATATTACCATTTTTAAATGTAATAATTTATTAGATATTATTACATATTAATTAGTGAATATAATTAAATACAATTACCATTTGTATAAATTAACATAATACCAAAATAATATATCTATTTTATTAGCCTTACTTTATTATGGTTATTAGATTTTTAATTACCTATTGTGATATACGTACTTAATTTTTTAATTACCATTTTTAAATGAAATAAGTTATTAGATATTATTACATATATATATTAGTAAACATAATTAAATATAATTATTACCATTCGTATAAACTGGTTAAAAAAGGATTGGTTTATTAACGGTAAGTGTAATTATGCTTGAATATTTTATTATTACTTTAAATTACTTACCAGTATAATTGAATACTAATTTATAGTAACTCCATTAATGACCAGTGTAACTCCATTTTAATTGAGTAATTACCATATGGAGTGAACACTTACCATTTTTATTGGAACACCAAATGAGCGGGAAAACTGAGACTCTATGGCTTTTTAAATAAAGTATGGATGAAAGGAATTTGGTTTTATCCTCTCTTAGCACAATTTGCCTTCTTATTTTATTTTTCTTTCAATTTTCTTTTCTTTTTCTCTCTTATTTTCTTTTCTCTTTAAAGATCTTTGAACCAAGCACATACAGAGCAAAAATTGTACAACCTAATGTTGCAGCACTCACTTTTATACACACAAATAAACTACAAACTCATAAGGCACTTTACTTGCAAAAATAACTAAACTGTAGTGAATAATTTAGAAACAAAAAGTGTAACATAGTAACACAAACCTAAAAGTTTGGAAATGAATGAAAAGAAGAAACAAACAACCGATTATAAAGCTCCATTCAATAGCTCCAAGTGATTTACAATCATCCATTCAATAGCTCCATCATCATCAATAGACAAATGTGTCCCATTTATCATCATTTGTGAACTTCCACCAATGTTGCCTAGACTTGCAAATTAAACAAAACAAATTCAATGAGAAATAAACAAATCAAACAATCTGAAAATTGAAGTAAACTTAAAAAACTAATTAGAGTTACTTTAAGAAAAAATGATCCAACAAAACTCAAACATATTTTTGAGAGGCTGATTACGCAATGGGGGCTAATAAGTATGGAGTATATGTTTGATTCTCATTATCACATTAATTCTTTTATAGTTGGTGTGGATGCAAGAAAGGTTTGATTTTTAGATTAATGACATATTTAGCTAAAAATAGTTTGTTTACAACATATTATTGATAAATATTTCATGACTTAGTTTCTCTCACAAACCCAATTCAATAATATGATAAATATTTAACATTTTCTCTTATGTGATTTTAGAAAAGAAAGATGAGGAAGGATTCATTAGAAACATTTTAAGAATCATTCCTTGATAGTGCCAAGCACCTTATTAATTAGCTTATTGGAAACATTGTAGTTGTATATAGAATTTCGGAATACAGTTACTGTTTATTGCTGTATATTCCTTGATAATGCTGAGCACCTTAGTAAAAATGTATACTGCATCTAACTTTGTGTATAAGTCTATGTCAAATCCTATCCAGGTAGCTCTATATATGGCTCTTAGATGACCTACTAGGGTGGTTCAATTATTTTCAAAGTTTCAACATATGTAATTGTTTCTACTATAACCAGTTATGTGGGTTCATGTTTTTTTATTTCCAAACAAGAGAAATGATAGGATGCAACACGTACGGGTCACCATTGTCCTATGCACTGTGTGTTTTCTCTCCAAGTAGAAAATCTTATGCATCAGCATCATAGGATGGAACAATAAGGATATGGCAGGCATTTTCTCATGATCTTAACTTATGGTAATTGTACTCTTAATTTTCTCCAGCTGTTTTTGCAATGCCCAGAGAGCTGGGGGTAAGATTGGGTTCATTTTGATTTGAGACGACTCTAACACTATGTTTGGTTCAACGATTTTGGAAGGAAAATAAAAGGAAATGATTTTCTCACACTTTCCTCATTAAAATGGAAAGAGTTTAGTTTTCTTTCTTTTAATACATTTTCCCTTCTTAATTTCTTTTCCTCCCATTTTTCCTTTCTAACCAAACAACAAAATCAGTTTTCCACTCCATTTTCTTTTCTTTTCCCTTTCAAATTAAATTTCTTGAACCAAACATAGGGTAACAGAGTTGGAATACACTAACATTATGTTTGGTTTATTGAATTTGAAAGGAAAAAGAGTAGAAAATGAGAGGAAAAACTATTTTTCATGTTTGGTTAGAAAGGAAAAGAAAAGTATAAGGAAAGAAAAATGAGGAGATAAAATATTATAAGGGGAGGAAAAACCAAATTTCTTCCATTTTGGAGGGGAAAATGAGAGAAAACAATTATGCTTTTATTTCTTTCCAAACTCCACGAACCAATCATAGTGTAAGAATAATGTTGTAGGCATTCTGCATTTGATCTTTCATCTTACTCCCTCCGTCCTAATATGTTCTTCCCAGTTTGACTTTTCCCCATTTTTAATTTTTGGCTTTGACTTCAAATTTTACCCTCTTTAGAAAAGATTTTTTGAATTTTTTTTTTTGCAATCATTCAAAATATAGAGTTAGAAGATAATTGGTGTAAATACATGAGGGTATTAATGTCATTTGCCATCTCTTTTTTTCTAATGGGAAGGTAGTTTTAGGACGGAGAAAAAGGGGAAGTGGGAATATCATTATAGGACGGAGGGAGTATTATAAAAGAACATCTCATGGATTTCCGTAAAAAATGTGGCCTATTTCTTAGGCTGTCAGTTTGTGTACTTGATATGTTTGTCGAATGTTGAAACTACATTGGGTTTTGCTCTCTATCCAAAAATAAAAGATCAATTAGCATTGTTTATTAAAAGACATATATCCAATTTGTTTATCATCTATTATATGTCATTTGCAGAATATTATATCCAATGGAGTAGAATTCAATGTGTAGGATTTGGGATTTGTTTACGAGCACATGAAGAATAATTAATTAGCACAAAGAATTACTCCGTATTTGTTATAATATTTTGAAGTGCTTGCTGTTTTACAATCTCATTCAACTATTTTCATTTAGGCCCCGTTTGATACATGAAATTCAAACTATGAAATTGGAACTGAGGATTTCAATTTCAATTCTGGTGTTTGGTAGCACAGAAATTATGTGGATTTGAAATTGGTAGTGCAAAAAATGAATTGGAATTGGTGAATTCCATGGAATTGAATCACATGGAATTTTAATTCCAATTCAATTCCAATTCCATCAATTCCGTGTACCAAACGGACCCTTATTGATTTCTATTGTTGCATTCAACTTGTGCAGGCATCTTGATCGGAGGAAATTAAATCATAATAGCCGTGGATGCAACATTTTGGATTGAATACTTGCATCCAGGAAAAAAATTTATGCCTCTCTATTCTAAATGTGACAACTTAACATTAATTGTTAGTGATGTACTCCGTATTATTTATCTTACCGACATTTTTTCTTTCTATTGTTTTATACCTCAAAGGGAAGCTTCTTTTCATGCGAATATTCTATCAAGTTCTCCATTTTTATATTTATCGATAACCTCAATTTTGAATGGTGGTTACAATAGAATAAAAAGTTTTTTACAAGTTTTTAAATTTGTAATTTTGTTTGTTTAGTGCTATCAATTGGAAAAAATTTACATTAGTTTGTGTAGAATGTACTACCAAAAACATTACAGTACATTTTTTCTACTCCTTCCGTCCCAATTTAAATCGTCTGTTTTGAGTTTTGAGCATATTTAAGAAAATAAAAAAATAGAGTTGATTTTTCAAAATTGACATTACTTTTTAGGATGGGTGATGATGAATGAGATGATAAGGTGAAGAAGAGTGACTTATTTTAGGGTAGTTTAGGTATTTTATTTTTAAAAGTTTACGAAACCAACTAACATGTAACTTATTTTGGGACGGAGAAAAAAGACAAACAAGCAATTTAAAATGGGACAGAGGAAGTAATAGCCATTGCATTTTATGACACTGGGATAATATAATGTTGTTGTTATTGAACTTTTTTCTCCTAACAAAAAATACCCATATTGTTTTCTATGTTACAATTAATTCTCATTTATATAAAATTAATTTATATAAAATTTTAATAATTTCTTATTTTTTAAGAAATAAATTTTCTTGCCGTGAAAAATCTAGTAAGATCCAAAAAGAAAGAAACTTGAAATAAAGGGAAAATTACCCAAAAAAATTCCAACTTTACCCGTTCTTTCAAAAATAATCCCACCTTTCACTGTGATACATAATAATCTCAACTTTAATAAAATCTACCAGTTTTGGGTCGCCGTTAAGTTTCTAACAGAGGGTTAACGGAAATGCCCGTTTTAGGCAACAAAATGAAAGTTGGGATTTGATGGTGTAAATTATCGATCGGTATATCGTTTTTAACCGGTAAAAACAATAAACTAGTCTAAAAAATACACCAAAATATAAACACGAGGATTTTTACGTGGAAACCCAATTCGGGAGAAAACCACGGGCCTTTTTTGGCGGTACCTTGCCAACGGAGGATTTTTATTAATATCGGGGGGTGTGTACACGGTACAAGAATCGGGCTCTGAAGCCATTAATGGAGAAAGTGTGGAGCTTCAAGCTCATTGAAAAAGAAGAGATTATACACTCTACAATGTTTCTAGAGAGAGAAAAGGTTTTGGCAGGAGGATGAGTGTAAGAATGGCCTCCCTTAACCTAGAGGGGGAGCCCTCCTTTTATAGGGGTGGAGGGAAGCATATTCGGGGAATATTCCTTTATTCCTCTATATTATTAATCAGGCCCGGTTTGACTATTCTTCGTAAAATAATTGGGAAATGTGGGCCGAGCCACGCATTATTTCCCATCAGGATTATTTTTGATGAATTTTCATTTTTTGAATTTTTTTGAAATTTTTATTTAAATTTTTTGAATTACTTTCAACCTCAATTTCTTTTTCTTTTTTAAAGATTATTCTTACCTTACAAAAAAATAGATATAAAAAATAATGAAAATGAGAAAAATAACTAAAACCATACAAAATTAATCAAATAAATAATGTAATCAATTGAAATTAAACAAAATCTGGTAAGGAATAAAATAAATATATATGGAGTGATGAGTTTTAACATTTTACACGCTATATGGAGTCTTAATGTATTACTTATTTTTTAAAAGAACAAGCCGTCCGGTAAAGTTTGAATTATTGTAAATAATCTTTTCTAAAACATAAGAAGTGATATGTTAATACTTTATATAATGCGTAAAATATTAAAACCCACCCGTATATTTTTATTTTACTTTTATCAATTTCGTGTTAGTTTCCATTGATCACCTTATTTATTTTATTATTTTCGTATCATTTTAGTTACATTTCTCATTTTTTCATTTTTATATCTATTAATTCTTATTTTTAAAACTAAGACTAATCTTTAAAAAAGGAAAAAGAAATGATAATAGAGGTAGAAAGTTGGACATTCCCGTTAACCCTCCTTTAGAAACTTAAGGGCAACCCAAAATTGGCAAATTTCATTAAAGTTGGGATTATTATGCATCACAGTGAAAAGTGAGATTATTTTTGAAAGACCGAGTAAAGTTGGAATTATTTTGGATAATTTTTCTTGAAATAAATTATGTTACCTTCCCATACAAAGGAAAAAGTGCACGAATTGTTTGCAGAAACCTGAACTAAATCTTGGGGTTCAAGTGTTCAATTCACGTTTTTTTTCTTAGTTTTTCATATCATCTCTAGTTTTGTAAATCCTTTGATATAATTTTTTAATGCATCCGTCCTATACCTTTCTTCCAGTTGCGCAAAACGAAGAAAAATCCCAAGTTTTTTCAATCTATTTTATTTAAATATAAGTATAGAAATAAAAAATGAAACATAGTACATATTTAAAAACTACATCAAAAGTTCAACAAAACAATTGGTGACAAGAATATTTTATTTTATCATATAGGCCATGAAAAAACACAAATAAATATAAATTCTTGTAAAGTTGGAATAGTGTTATAGGAAGAAAGTTTTAGGACGGAGAGATTAGCAAATTTTACACCATTTTTCATATAAAATGATTAGAAAATAAAATCGGTCAAACATCGTAACACGCAACAAGAAGTTTATTTGTGACATAATTTTTTAAGAGGGGTAATGATGAATGAGAAGATAAGGTGAAAAAGAATGACTTATTTTAAGGGTAGTTTAGATATTTTATTTTTAATACTTTACGAAAACAACTAACAGACAATTTATTTTGGCACGGAGAAAAAAATCAAACATGCAATTTAAAATGGGACGGAGGGAGTATTATACTCATCTCATTGTATTTATCTAGTTTGATTTATTCGAATCAAATAACCTAAATTGTAAGGTTTAATTAGTCTTAATTTGTGATGTATATTGGTACCATGAAATAAAATTTTGAAAATTTTCAACAAAGTGTAATTGAATCATTTTTAATACTACTCTATCAAACCTAAAACTTTATTCTAAATTTGATTTAGGAAGTTTGACTCAAATTATTTTCAATTTATTTTATTTTATTACTAGTGTAAAATTAGAAATAAAAATTATACGGAATATACTAAAAAACATACTCCATATCAAAAGTCCTACAAAACAAAAAGCGACGTGACCATATTATTTAATCAAATAACCAACCAAAATAGGTAATGAAAAATGATTAAAGTTTAACAATACGAATAATGTCAAGGAGGAAAAAAAGTTTTTGACTTGAAAACCCAAAACAAGATACTACATTCTTAAAATTGTGTCATCGCATTCACACTTCACAGCATGCATTTTGTGTCAATAAGTACAGTCAGCATATTGTCTGCATATATTAAGTATTTTAGCTTATGATACTTATGTAGATTGTTAAGGGGCTCTTTGGGTGGTGTAGCAGGCTTCAATCGAACCTCTTGCATTTAATCTCTTCACTGAGGTCCTCAGGATTGCCTTGGATTTTCCTTTTTGAAGTTGTTTGTGCTTGCAGAAGTTGAACCAGGCCATTCATGGATGCATAGGAGAGAGTAGAAGGCATTATTTAAAAGGGGTCAAGCCTCATTTGTGACTCTTCCTGGACTTCAACAGTTGACCACTTCCCCTTCCTTGAGAAGAGCTTTCAGCAGCTTCTCCAAATGAAGCTGCAGCCCTTGAAGCACAAAGAATTCCCAACACCTGCTTCAATGCATGCCCATTTTGTATCTTACAGTCTTCAAAGGTGCTACGCCACGGCTTGTCCTCAAATGTTTCCCCCCGATCAGCACATCCACAATATGCATACCATGCATCAGATAGCTTACGCTTAAAATCAGAGGAGTGTTCGGGAGACACCAATATCATCCACCCTATCTGGATAAACAGGAGAATGGACCCAAGAAAAAACCTTTAAATCCCTCGTATAAGGAACATCAAAATCTCTACCTAGTCCAACCTTTAAACATCAAAATCTTTACCTAGTCCAACCTTTAAACCTTCGGATATCTGATACTGTATTGCTCGAAATCGGGCATCTTCACAAAAATAAACAAAGAAATGCTCGCAGCCATACTTCCTTTGGGGTTCCAGTTCATTATTCAAAAGAGAAAGTGCTTCCTTCAGATTTTGGTATCCCAATTTCTGAATGAGTTCATGTTGTTACATGCATTTGGATTTTTAGATGAATCACACCTTCTACCCTTACGTCAGACCCATCAAAAGCATACCAATGTCCACCATACTTGTACCCAACAACATAGATATCTTTCCTAGAAATCAAGAGGTGGGTACATTTTTCTTTTTACCGCACCTTTACAACAAGAAAGAGACTTCGACGCTCAAGCAAACAAGTCTCTACAATCCCTCCAATAGGAGGACCTTTGGATTTACAACGAGAACGGAACCAACCCATAAACTCATTAAACCTATCCCGAAAAACCAAACACTGACTATTCAACATCAAAGTATACTTATTCTTAGGCTTTATATCTGAGTACTTGACAAACCTGAAAAATACAAAATTAAAAAGAATAAAATCAATTTTAAAAAAGGTATAACAATGACATGCATTTGCTTCATTTGAAATTCTCTTGCTCTGAGCAATGACAGCTCGGAAGAGAGGACGACCGAGGAAAAAGAAAGGGAAATCTGCTGCAAATGCAAATCAGAGAACACAGGAAGGAGAAACTGGATCTCCTTGTACTGGGTAATACTTCGACTCCACCAAATATGGGAGGGGCAAACCTAAACCTAGATCTAAATCTAATGAATCAAAGACAGAATCAAAGGGGAATGAGAAAGGAACTGATAATGAAGAGAAAGATAACATAGATAATGGGGGAGAACCGTACAAACAATCTTATGCGAAGGTAGTGGGTATGAAGGAAGAATATGTATTTGAATTAAAATATGTGCAAGCAAAGGAGATTAATGGCTTGTCAGTTGCTCGATTAACTGCTGAGGACATTATAGAGCCCTCAAATCGGGCGGGTTTGCTCCTAATACACAGCAGATAACTAGATAACTGATGTATCCCAGCGATTTGAGGTCTCTATAATGTCCTCAGCAGTTAATCAAGCAACTGACAAGCCATTAATCTCCTCTGCTTGCACATATTTTAATTGAAATACAAATTATTCCTTCATATCCACTACCTTCGCATAAGATTGTTTGTGTGGTTCTCCCCCATGATCTATGTTATCTTTCTCTTCATTCTAAGTTCCTTTCCCATTCCCCTTTGATTCTGTCTTTGATTCATTAGACTTTAGATCTAGGTTTAGGTTTGCCCCTCCCATATTTGGTGGAGTCGAAGTATTACCCAGTACAAGGAGATCCAGTTTCTCCTTCCTGCGTTCTCTAATTTGCATTTGCAGCAGATTTCCCTTTCTTTTTCCTCGGTCGTCCTATTTTCCGGGCTGTCATTGCTCAGAGCGAGAGAATTTCAAATGAATCAAATGCATGTCATTGTTATACCTTTTTTAAAATCGATTTTATTCTTTTTAATTTTGTATTTTTTAGGTTTGTCAAGTACTCAAATATAAAGCCTAAGAATATGTATACTTTGATGTTGAACAGTCAGTGTTTGGTTTTTCGGGATAGGTTTAATGAGTTTATGGGTTGGTTCCGTTCTCGTTGTAAATTCAAAGGTTCTCCTATTGGAGGGATTGTAGAGACTTGTTTGCTTGAGCGTTGAAGTCCCTTGCTTGTTGTAGAGGTGCGGTACAAAGAAAAATGTACTCACCTCTTGATTTCTAGGAAAGATATCTATGTTGTTGGGTACAAGTATGGTGAACATTGGTATGCTTTTGATGAGTCTGAGATAAGGGTAGAAGGTGTGGTTCTTCTAAAAAAAATCCAAAAGCATGTATCAACATGAACTCATTGAGAAATTGGGATGCCAAAATCTGAAGGAAGCACTTTCTCTTTTGAATAATGAACTGGAACCCCAAAGGAAGTATGGCTGCGAGCATTTCTTTGTTTATTTTTGTGAAGATGCCCGATTTCGAGCAATACAGTATCAGATATCCGAAGGTTTAAAGGTTGGACTAGGTAAAGATTTCGATGTTCCTTCTACGAGGGATTTAAAGGTTTTTTCTTGGGTACATTCTCCTGTTTATCCAGATAGGGTGGATGATATTATGATATTGGTGTCTCCCAAACACTCCTCTGATTTTGAAGGGGATAAAGACTGTTTTAAATACCTGTGGGATTTGATTCACAATTGGCGTAAGCTATCTGATGCATGGTATGCATATTGTGGATGTGCTGATCGGGGGGAACATTTGAGGACAAGCCGTGGCGTAGCACCTTTGAAGACTGTAAGATACAAAATGGGCATGCATTGAAGCAGGTGTTGGGAATTCTTTGTGCTTCAAGGGCTGCAGCTTCATTTGAAGAAGCTGCTGAAAGCTCTTCTCAAGGAAGGGGAAGTGGTCAACTATTGAAGTCCAGGAAAAGTCACAAATGAGACTTGACCCCTTTTAAACAATGCCTTCTACTCTCTCCTATCAAACAACCCTAGTATAACCCAAACTCAATGAGGTCTTTATAGCTCAAAGTTAAGTGTGGAATGCTTGAATAAATCAAATCTAGGGATATTAATTATTGTAATTTTATGAATCAATTCATGTTAGAATTCCTTTTGCATGAGCATATATGTTGCAAATAAAGAAGGAATTACCGTGACTTTGTCTAAATCACTCCTTCCATCTCGCAATCCTCATTCGGCAGCTTCCATCTCCAATTTTGGCATGTCATTCGTGGCCTTTTTTATCCAGCCATACGCACACAAATTACAACAACAAAAAAACAATGACAAGTGTGAGCTATGTAAAAAACAAGAATATTGAAGAAATGGAAGGATTCCCTTTTTTAAAAGGGAAGGAACTAGACACACTGAAGAATATTGAATAAATGAGAGATTGTCAAGAATGACAAAATCATCAATTGCAAACCCAATACATTGTGCAATAAATCGGGGGTTTCCCCGAAAATACTCCAACAAATATTGCACAATAATAACCCAATGAGATAATCTCATAATCTCTGTCACAAAAATGCTCCAAAGACAATGTTGTTTATCCTTCTATTATTTGTATGCTGATTAGCTTCCTTCATCAGCACCAAATCCAAATGTCTACCACCGCATTTTCAGAGCATTTTCTACACTTGTTAACACATGAATTACCCCTACTTTTCTCTTTTCGGATGTCCTTTGTGAATCTCTCATTTTCATTTAATTCCTAAAAAACTGTCAACCACACAATTTAAATTTCTAAAATTGCATGCAATGTCAAAGGGGGAAAATACAAATTAATACTCTGCAGCTTAAACCATCTTACAATAACATTCTCAGAAGCTTAGGTGTTTAAAAATGCTCCCAAGCAGTGGAGGAATTGGTGAGGTGAAATAAACGAAATAGACAAAGCATATAGACATGATGAACTGATGAAGGGAAGAATTTCGCTGTCATTGGAGCTTTTTTGTGACATGGACAATCTCCTGAGAGTATTCTTGTGCAGAATTGATTGTGGTAGCATTCAGAGTTGGGAGTATCCATGTACATTTTCCATTAATTTTTATTACACATATAATATACCTTCCCTGCACACAGTATTTTCATATTTTATGTCTAAATACATGTTTGACATGTGCTTGCACAAATGTATTGCTACGGTACATTTAAAGAATTAATTACCTCGTGTTTGTGAAGCTCACTCTGCCCATCATGCAATCCTGCATCAACAATAATGAAAATATCACCAACCGCAAACTTAATATGTAGCACAATGAATCAAGACTCTTTACATTTTCCCGAGATTATTGTTATGTTGTCAAAAAATTGCTTCTCAGTCAGAGTAGAGACATACCAAACCAATTGTGAATGATGAGAGAGAAGATGCTTCCATTAGACCCTTGATGCATTTTATGACCAAAACTTTTTTTGAAGATAAGAAGCAATACTAGCATTTCAGAAGCACTTCCACATACAAGTTCCCCTAGTTACCCACTTACCCTTCATCATCAAACCACATGATTGGTCATAAAGTCACTGAATGTTACAAATAGATTAATAACTTAGCTAACCTGCTTTTCATGATTGATTCATCACAAAGTCAGAGCCCACTACTAAAGATTATCATAAAAAATGTGGAATCTAACACTCGAGGGACCAACACCAAACATTTTAATTAGGTAGTTAAACTCCGTATCTTATTAACCTATCATTCTTTATTAAATAATCAAATGTGGGACTCTAACACTGGAGAGACCAGGCATGCTGTTTTGGTTTGGGCCATATTTTTGTAAACCAAATGACTTACCATCCGTCCAAGTGATCTCGATGCAAAATTCATAATTCTTTGTTTCTGTATCTGTTTGAAAGCAGCAATCTCCAATCTTAAACTTTCGTTTGCCTAATAGACGATCTTTCGGAGACATGCAAAAAAAATCTACGTCAATAATGAGGGAAGCATCCATTGGCACCACAACAACACTTTTAGAAATTAGTTCTTCCTCATCATTCTTTAAATGTACTGGATCCTTCTCAATCGTTTGGAAAAGCACACACCGAAAATAATCTCTCTTTAACTTAGTTGAGTAGTCAAAGTTGCTATATCGAGCGATTGCACTTCCATATATCTTGCCAGCCCCTAACTGAGCACTCTTAATCTTGAAAAAGATCTCGATATTTGCTTGACAAGCTCTCGGGAAGATGGAGTAATGCAATGCACAAAACCCATCTTTGCCCGGAAGAACAGAACATATTTGGGTGTTATAAGATGAATATCTGCATGGGAATCGAAGGTCATAAGTAGCAAACCCTTTGTTCTGATATTTCCCACGAACATCTTTTAGATCCACCTTCAATTCAAGTAAGCCATAGTCAGAAAAACTCTTATACACTTCTAAGAATGGCAGAACTTTCTGTGAATCTTCTACTTCAATAGCCTCATCACAAGCCCTCTTGAATAGGTACCGAGGATTACCATGAAAAGAAAATTCAACTGTGCCAAAAATTTTCAATGCTGCCAAATTTTTACGCCCGATAAAGATTGAGTAGAACTGCATTAATTCAGACGGTTGTGGCATACTTTGCTCACCATGACGAGGACACCTAATTATAAATAATAAATAAACATAAACATATAAACAAAGAAACAATTTAAGATGTGACTAAGCTATAATATTGAAAGTGCACAAATGGAAGAATCACAAACCAAATGTTGTCATTGTCAGATGACGATGATGATGATAAGGATGACAACAATGATTTGCTACTGGACTGAGGAGAAATGACAAAATGTTAGATAAAGAGTGATGTAGAGTTGAATATATAAAACAAATGCAATGCTCTTTTAAGATGAACATGAACTGAAATGAAACATTGAGCTCACACAAACAACAAACACATTATAGTATTAGGGATCTTGGGGTTGCGATCCTTCCCCCAACATAGAGGCCATCGTTGCTCCATTGGCGATTTGCCTCCCAAATGCCAAAAATAAGCCCATTGCGGTAGTTCATCCCATTGGAACACCATTTTTGCGCCATCACCAAAGTAAGCCATATTCTTTTTATTTTTGACTAGTCCAGGTCCAATAACTTAGGCCCAACAGAGATAAAAACCCTTTTCATTTAATCAAAAAAATCCTCCCTCTCCCGTCATGTTTTCTTTCATTGCACCTGACATGCAATCACCCATCGCGACTGGTCATCTTCTTCTTTGCAGCTCGCGATTCAAGAAGGGATATGGCGAAGAGAAACACAGTGTGGTATTGGTCTTTCTTCTTCTTTGCCAGTCGCTACTCAAGAAGGGACAAGGAGGAAGGATAACATCCTGCTACTGGTCTTCTTCTTCTCTTACGGTATTCTGCCCTAATTTATTTATTTATTTTGAGGAAAGTAATTTTTTATCATATTTCTTCAAGGATGACATGCCTTTAGCATGGAAAACACTGCACAAAGCTGAAACCAAACTCATGTAATGATTTGGTACGCAATTTTTGTGGCTGTATAGCCAATGGTGGGATTAGAAGATTCAAACAACATCTGATAGGAGGGCATCATAACACAATAAAATGTCTGAGTTTACTGGAAGGGGTGAAGACAAGTCTCCGAGACTTGGTTTTGAGTGAGGCAGGTTAGAGCATCAACTTGTAATACAATTGGTTCAAAAAGTTGACAAAGATGATGATATTACAATTATATATTTTTATCTCAACTTAATCCATTAAATTATGTGGTCCACGGTCATGTAGGACTTTTTTGGCATAAAGTTATTACCTTTAGAGAATGAATTACCTCATCTTCGTCTGAATCACTCCACACATAACGCCCATCAGGTTAGTATGATGTCACTTCCGCCATAACAATAATGGCAATATCATTCTCGACCGCTGCAAAGTGATTTGCCCATGGACCATCCCAGTCACACAATTCTACTGTTTTTTATAAGCTCTCTGTTTGTGTTGAAGTCCCTCAAGTCCAGATCAATTTCAAGTGACGAATATGCTGGCAACCCCAGCCATGTTCTCAACATACTCAGGTTATTCTTCATTTGCACTGGTTCAAAGTCATTCTGCTTCTGAATTATAGTTGCCATAAGTTCCCTTATATCGCGCAACAATTTTTCCAGCAACATTAACAACTGGGCCCTGGTCTTTGCTAGTGAATCCAACATGCACTCGGCAAAGAGCAGCAAATGGCATGGCTATATAAATCAAGGTAGCTGAGCAAATTGTGCCATGAAATGCACTTGATCTTACTTCTTCAAAATCACATTCAGTTGCATCCCCCACCAAAATTTCCTCACGAGCAAACAGAACAACCTTATCCCCAATTTTGAGATAGAGATACACTCCTATAGTTGTTCCGTGCAATCTCATCCACAAATCTTGATGATTATGAAAAGTATCAGGCCAATCAAGAGTTAAATCACCACCAGTTGGGCTGATGCGGTCGCCATCATCGGCATTCCGATTGTAAATATCAAGCTGCATCAGTTCTCCACTCCTGATATTTCGATACTTAACACGAAGTGTACCAAATACAATGAGTGGTCTGTTTTTTAGAGCTTCTTTTGGTTGTATATGTACCGAATGCAGATGAAGTAAAGGCCCAGCTTCAACATGCTCTCTGCCTTTAATTTTTTTGGTTTCTCGTGCCTTACTGACATAAGGAATAACCCTATCAATAGTGCAGAGAGTGTCACTAGTGAGGAAAAACTTCTTCACATCTTCTGATGTAGCATAGGGATACTTTGTTAGAAGCTTAATGGCATACACAAGGCAATCGATCTTGCTGGGAGTTTCACGGGAATGGAAAAACTTCTCCACATCTTGTAGTGAAACATAGGGTAAACGATTTAGCAGCTCAATGGCATCCATGATTGATGCAAAGAAAGATTCACTGCAGTATATTAGGATGAAATACAGGATAAGAGATCTTATGAGACCCAAAAAGAAAGAAGATTGAAACTTAGGCTAAACCCTGGGTTCAATTCATGTTTTGCTTATTTAAGTTGTAAAGAAATGCTTATTTTCCTCATAGAATTTGCCTAATCTACCACTATGGAATCAAACATAAACCTGGTAGTTGTTATAAAACAAACAAACAAAAAGCATAGATTAATCTACCACAATATATATATATATACACACACACATATGAAACTGTCTCTCTCTCTCTCTCTCTCTCTCTCTCTCTCTCTCTCTCTCTCTCTGTGTGTGTGTGTGTGTATAATCAAACTAAACCTAGTTAAATTGTTTTAATAATCGGACCAATTGCAATACTAATTCGCAGATTAGGTTTACCTCTAAATCGGATAGCTTCTTGTGCCAATGGAAATAGCGGCGACGGCGACGGCTTCTAGGAGGAGTTTGAGAGCCAATTCTTCTTTTTCCTAAGAGTCACGAAAATGGGAGGTCACGGGTCTTTACATAAGATGGGTCTTTTCATACCCTCTATATGTATATACTCCGTACTACGTAATGAATAAGGATACTTACACCAAAAAATATACCTCATTTGTACACCACAGGTTTGTACAAACATTTCGATGGTTTACACCGACACAAGTGTTAGCGCGTTAATAAAAATGTACACGGACACAAATGTTGGTGCGTTTAACAAAAATTAGTTTTACACTAACACAAAGTGTTGGTGCAAAACTGTGAGGTACAAATTGGGGTACAAACCTTGGGGTACACATAGCATAATCCAATGAATAACTACATATATGAATATATAATGTATTAAAATATAAAAAGTAGACTATAATACGTAGTATCTGAATAAAAACTATGTTTAATAAAATATTTTTAATTGTTTTTTAGTAATATATTTTAAATAATTTAATTGGTCAAACACATTGCTAGAAAAATGAATCGAAGTGTTAAAAAAATAATATTACTAATTCTTAAGATTAACTTCATGCAACTCGCACAAAAACAATTAATTTAGTCACTATGTTCAATCAATAAAAAAATAAAATAAACTAAACCCAAATCACTACTCCATATATTAATTAAAATTGCCAACTCATTAGAATAATGAATATGTAGCTGATGGCTTGTTAAAAATGCCAAATAGACTCGCCTTATGTCGAAATTCTGTAAGCCGAGTCTCAAATATTATAGTAAAGAATACGTATTTTAAATAAGGTAAATTCATTTTAAACAACATAATAATAATAATATTAAAAAGGTATGTTCCTTTTACGTGATTATCATGTATTATACTCCGTAAAAATTATCATCTTTGAAAAAAACATGAAAGCATTGCCTTGAAAAAAAATATTCTCATACATAAAAGTATCGAAATTAAAATCACAGTTGTGTTTTCATTTATACTTTTTAGTTATTTTAAATAAAAATATATTTTTATACATAATTTGCTTTTATATTGTTATAAATATTTATAAAATATATGCAACAGAAAATACAGAGTGAAATATCACAAGTTTTATTGGAAATCTCAAAAACTCAATTTTAACAATATTTCTAAAAAGAAAATTACATTGAATATTGGGGGTGACCTAAAGTCCTTATTACAATCTGAATACATCATCATCAAAATCTATAATTTTTCCCAAAAACTCCGATCAACGTAATACTCGTTTATGAACCGAAATGGATTCTGCCCATATATCATGATAGAATTTAGGATGGGGCAAGGATTACTGGATTGGGCAATAAGACACTTGGGTTGAACCGTATTAAAAGATTGAATCTCATCGATTATTTAGTTCAACTCTAGAGCTTATATACCAATTTATTTTCACTACAAGCTCCGGTGTGGGATAGACTCCAACACTTCCCATCAAGTGGACAACCGGCCATTTTGAATCTAACCGGCTGACCACTTGCAAATAAACGGCCACATGCCGTTGGGTACATACTCCATACGAACAACTGGCTAAAGACTAACGGGCCGCTAGAAATGAACGTCTAGACGGACACATTGACAAACGAGGTGGGCTAAAACTGGCTTTGATACCATGATAGAATTTAGGATGGGGCAAGGATTACTGAATTGTGCAATAAGACACTTGGGTTGAACCATATTAAAAGATTGAATCCAATCGATTACTTAGTTCAACTCTATAGCTTATATACCGATTTATTTTCACTACAAGTTCCGGTGTGGGATAGACTCCAACATATCATTTCAAAATTGCATACAATAGGTGGCTAATAACATGTAAAAATTGCTACATGGCCTACTGACATGTTAAAATCATTAGTTACAAAGATTGATAATACTCCCTCCGTCCCACTGTGTTTGTCCACTTATCTTTTGACACACCATCCAATGCACTTCTTTAATCCATTTTATCTTGTAAATTGTATATTAAAAAATTATAAAAATTATATATTAATAATCTATATGATAAGACGAATCAAACAAGATCATACATGACTATTTTTAGGCTTACACATTAAAAAAATTTGATGAGTCAAAGAGCTTAAATGAACAATTTCAAAAGTCAAATGTGGACAAAGACAATGGGACAGAGGTAGTATACTTTAGGATAAATGCCCTCGTTCCTTATCTTCAAATGAATATGTTATTTTGTCAAATAATTAATGAGTTTAAGTGCCTGTTTGGGAACAGCGTTAGCAATTAGCGTTAGCGTTTTGAAAAAGTTATCTACGAGCAGCGTTTAGCGTTAGCGTTTTCAAAGTGATCTGCACCGTTAAAATTTTATCCAAAACGCTAACGCTAATCTCTAACGCTATTCCCAAACAGGCCCTAAGTTTAGAATTTTAAAGTTTGACACTAAATCGCCACATAGGGTAATTAGTTTGGCATAAAGTAGATTAAAAAGGTACATGCGGTCCAACTTATCTATTTGTATTTATTTAATTTTATCAAATAGCTACATTGAAGCTATGAGGATTGCTTCAAATTGCATGCTTTGTGCTCTAGAGTTATGGGTTTCAAATATTTCAATTAACTGCTTTTAATTATACTCCGTATATGCTCTGCTTTTGAAAAACAATTACAAAGCAATATTTGAATGAACAGTGAAATTAAGATCTTTCAACCTTTGTAAGCTCATTTTCATACTTTCAACTCTTGGTTATTAAAGTGATAAATTAATATAGTACCTCTTTGCCTCAAAAAAGTAATCTTGAGTATCTTTGTTCTTTTGGACTCCTTTACTATATTTTTGTCATTTCTCACAACAACTACATTCCTATAGTGTTTGTAATATTTTGTGAAAGTCTTAGTAAAAAGCAAAAAAATATACACCAATAAGTTTTGAAATTAGACCTTGGAAGAAGATTACAATAAACTTATTAAGCATATGAAGGCAACATTATCAACTAATTACTGACAGACAATTTGACTTTGCTTGAAAGATCTCTTGAAAATAAATCAACCTTAGGGCTGTAAACGGATAGCCGAAAATCCAATTACCGTCCGCATCCGTATCCGTTTAAAGAGGAAATATCCGCATCCGTTTTAAACGGATATTATCCGTATCCGATTAAGGATATCCGATTACTAAACGGATACGGATTTGGTAATTGTATATCCGATCCGTTTAAAATCCGATCCGCATATGCATCCGTTTAAATAGCCGTTTATCCGAATATCCGATCCGTTATATATAGTTTTTCCTAATTTTTATGTTTATATTTTGTTTCTCTATTGATATTTCAAAATATAAGACATTTTTAAATACAAAATAAATGTGTATACATAAAAATATATACAGACAGATAAAAATATGTGTATATATGTGTTGTGTATATTTTTTTATCATATAAAATTATCGTAGAATATCAGAAATCATGAAAACAAAGAAAATAATTATCTCATAAGAAATTATAGTTGATTTAATAATAGTTTGACTTTACTCTAATTTAAAAATAAAGTATTTTTTAATTTGATTTTAAAAATTAGAAACGGATATGGATATATCCGATATCCGACCGATATCCGACGGATGGGGATACGGTTTTGATTTTCAGTATCCGTCAAGATCCGTATCCGAATTCGATATCCGACAAAAATAAACGGATGCGGATTTGGTAATGGCACATCCAATCCGATTAATATCCGTTTACACCCCTAATCAACCTAAGGCCATACATAGGAATTTTATTGGAATTATATATAGACTATACACTATATAGTGACAATAATTGTTCTTGGTTGGAAGTTTTTCTGACACTCATGTCTTGACATGCAATAATATCTAGTACGGAGATTTCCTAAAAAAAATAAAACGAAATTTTCTTAATCAACCAGTTCTTCTAGCATATTACAAATATTGAAAATTTAAATATATAAGCTGGAGGGAACTAAAAGGAATGTGGCAAGAATAATTCGGTAAGAATTGTTTGATTGGCAGGAACTGTTAAACATAAGAAGATGAAATTTTTTGTAGAGAGGAATTAAACATAAGGAGTAAGATAGTGCATAAATTGGTGATTAATTTTTTCAATCCCAAATTACACATTCAAATATAGTGCCAAAAAAAAAAAGAGAAGATGCATAGGAATATAGTGCCACTACTACAAAAACAGGCTTTAGCATCGGTTTTTTTTAGACCTTTTGCATCGGTATTTTAGCGATGCAAATGCCAGCGATGCAATTGCTCCAGAGCAATTGCATCGGTTGTAAAAGAACCGATGCTAAAGGTCTTTAGCACTGGTTGTTTCAGAACAACCGGTGCTAAAGCCCTAATTTTTTTTAAAAAAATAAGGGCTTTAGCATCGTTTGTTTCGAAACAACCGGTGCTAAAGCCCTAATTTTTTTAAAAAAAATAGGCTTTGGCATCGGTTGTTCTGAAACAACCGGTGCCAAAGCCTAATGTTTTTTTAAAAAGATGGCTTTGGCATCGGTTGTTTTGAAACAACCAATGCCAAAGTCAGCAGTCATATCAATACCTAGATGTTGCACTTAGCCATCCACCAAACCAAATTGTGTTCATTTTCAAAACTTTGACAACCAAACCGCAGCATTACCAACTGTACAACAAACAAAGAATAACCTTCTACTAAAACCAAAACCCAATAACATAGCCAACTGAAGTTGCAGCCATCCAGCATAACTAACACTACCACTAACATAACCAGCTGAAGTAGACATCAATTGCAGAGGTAAATGAACTAGCGGCCAAGTGAAAAGTAGAGTGCTATTCCCAATTAACTGAAACAAGCATGCACCAAACAAAAACTTCAGTCCATTGAACCAAAAGCATATAAAAATCAAACCAACAACCACTGCCAACTTAGCCATTGGAAACTTTTACTGAGCAGTTTTACTTTGATCACCTGACAGAGATCAAACCTGTTTTTACCTCTTATTTATGGATGTATATATACACACAATGGATCATGCTGATGGTCCTTGAGCATAAACCGCATTGTCATGAAATCAGATTACTTGATGATAAAAAGGTCTGGTGCACATTAGAGTATATGGCTGTTACACTAGTCCCGACTGCAAACATGATCACCAATACTGCCAGTACCCTGTCCTGCTTGGTACAAATCTTATGAACATCTCTGCAAAACATTTTCAGATATTTATAGATAGTGTGAAGTATAATACAAGGATAAGAAGAATAATACAAAGAAAATCGGTACTCCCTCTGCCCACCAAAAAAAAAGTTCATCTTGGTCAAGATACAATTATTTTAAATTTAGAAAGATACAATTCTTAAAAGGCTTGACAATCTACATACACACACATACGAAGTATATATTTGGATTGACTAAAACAGTTTTTTAGTTTTACTTTTTAGAAAATTACATGAAAAAATAGTTCCTTTTTTGGGAAAAAAACTTTGTTACTGTACTAGCTTTTTGGGACAGAAGGAGTGACAAAAAGCATCAGTTCCATTTAGCTATGAAACAGTTTTGAATATCACTCAAATAAACAGTAGCAGATGTGGGATCACAGCGAGGTAAAGAATGATATATACGCACCTAAGAATGATCGTGCTTGGGAATATGAACATGATGCACATGACAGTGGTTGTTCCCATGAACTGAAAGAAGTACCAAATATTTAGAATGCAAATCGCAGCTACATACATGAATACAAGAAGAACGCCTGTGAGTGATAAAAACCTTACAGTTTCTGTAGACAATACAGGTCCTTTTGGGAACAGGAGTTCATCTACATTAACTCTCAGAGAGTAATTCATGATTGGAAACACCAGCATGAGATGAATTGCATAGCTCAACCGAACAACACGGTGTTAAGCAGTGTGTGAATAAGGGAGTCAGTGTTTTGATCAAAGTTAACAAGCATGTCGGCCATGATTGTGTCCCCGAATAGCAAATACCCAAAAAAGCCAACAGCAAAATAAATGGAAACACATAGCACTAAGGATATCCGGACTGCCGTGGTCATCTCAGATGGCCTGCCAAGTTCTGCCAAGCAAAATAATACAAAAAAAATAATGTAAATTTTTCTAGTCCAAGAAAGAGCCAAGGTGATAGTTTCTAACTTCAAAGAAACTACCATAAGAAGAAAGTATTTTTTCCACAAGTTGAGAGTTTCAGCACCATTTCACAACAAGCTAACTAACAAAAAAATTGCTGTATTATAAATGCGTTGAAGAGAGCATGTTTGAATTCAGTGTGAAGAATGACTGAAGGCAAAGAAGTTTCTTACAATTTCTACTGCAACTACTTGAGCAGTTTTTTATTTTGATGGAACTACTCTGGAAATTTTCCTTCTTGAGGATCAGCGGAAGAGATATGATCAATTTTGGTGTTTTAGAGACTTCCTTTCCATGAAGAAGAGACGAAGCATCTCAAATTTGGATCTAGATTTTGTCAAATTTGGAAACTTACCTAGTCTGAAATCAAGCGAATTTGGAGAACTTCCTTCGATGACGGAGTCCGTGATTTATTTCTTTCCTTCCGCGATGAAATCAAGTGAAAAAATCGTGCATTTTTGGAGAAGAATCAGAGATGAAGATGCTTGGAAATTTACGCCTGATATGCGAAGAACGAAGAAGAGGGAATTGGGAAAGTCTTTGATCGCAGAAGGAAAAAAATGTTTACAAACTTCATAAATAAAATTAAATGGTCTAAAATAAATTTAAAATAGAAATTTAAATCATTAATAATAAATTTGTAAAGTTTGTGAGTATTACAAATGTATTCATGGGGAAGTTCACCCAGGTTCGAGCCCCAGCGAAGGCGGCAGCATTGGCTCTTTATGCGTCATTAGTCATTAGTTTGAGAATAGTATGAACAGATACTACCTTGTAATAGAGTCAATAGCATTCAAAAAAAAACAAATGTAGCATTGCTCATCGTAGAGACATAAGAAAGACACGTGTAAGGTGACCGTCATTAAAATAAAACCTTTAAAATGTCGCATGTCACTATTCTACACATCAAGCTCTCAAATTTTATATTAAAAGATTATATAAATTTAAGTTAAAAAAAGAATGTTGAAATGGTAAGTAACACCAACATCATAATTTGGCAAATATTACATTGTAATTTTAAAAATAAAAAGATGAAAAAGGAAAATAGAACAAGCAAAAAAACTTTTCATTTTATAAATAATTAAATAGAATCATTTGCAAAAATTTCATAATTAATTTCTTCCATAGAAAAAGAATCTTAATTTAGTAATACGTACTCCGTAGTAGTTAAACTTAGGGGTGAGCAAGTATCGATTCGATACCGAAATTTCCCGAAAAAAACTGAGAATACCGAACCGAAAAATATCGAACTCAAAAAAGCACCAAGAAGAAACCGAACCGTACCGAACCGAATGCTCGGTACGATATTCGGAAACGGTACGAGGTGACGTCCCATACCGAAAATCCCGTACCGAACATATATACTAAAATATTATAAAAATAATACCTCGGAGTAATATTTTTATATTCCTTCACTAGATAATAATTTTTTAAAAAAATTGGTTCAAGTTCTATAATGTGTAAATTATACTTTTATTTGAGTTTAAATTTTTGTGTATGAACATAAAAGTATTCGCAAAGATTTGATATATTCTTTTGTTGTCATTCATTTTTTTTAGTTTGTGAAATAGAAACTAAATATTGAAACACATCTCTTGCATTTAAATATTCATTTTTTTAAAATTTTTCATATTTTTTTTATTTAAATTCAATTTTAATTTTCCAAAATAAAGGGGTATTGTTAAATTTTAATGTGTAAAGTAGGTATGTATATTTATCACGATTTGTACCGATACCGATACCGAACCATCCCAAACCATACCGAACCGATATTTCGGGATCGGGATTGGTACAGAGCAAAATCCCATATCGAACCGAAATATTTGGTACGGTATCGGTATGAGCTAAATACCGTACCATGCTCACTCCTAATTAAACTTGAAATGTGAGTCCATATTTTTTAGCGGGCTACCCATTACCCAAGGCGTGATCGGGTTTAGACTTCTGATTAAGAGTTTTGAAGAACTATGTAATCCAACTTGTCTTCGTCATTCGCTCGTTGCCGCTATTTCCGTAGGCACCCGCAACAAATCGTTTTCGAGGTAAACGTAATCATGAATTTGTATTGTTTTTGGTCGGATTGTAAGAATAAGGGGTTAAATGACTAGGTTTGTTTTTTATTTTATTATGGTAGCTTCATCTATGCGGGTTTTATGTTTTTTGATTCCATTAAACAAGAACTCTTGAATTGAGCCCACGTTTTAGATCACGTTTCTGCAACCAATTTATGCATTTTGATGGTTTCTTGACTTTGCTGGAGAGGGTAAAGCACATAATTTCTATGTTTCTTCAATCAATTTGTGCAATATTATTCTCAAGCTTCATTCTTTTTTGGATCTTTTAAGATCTCTCATCTCGTTTCTCAACCTAGGACAGAAACTGCAGCGAGCAAATCATTCTTTGCATCATGGATGCTACCAGAGAGCTTATAAAGCACTTCCCTTATGGTTCACTGCAAGATGCGGAGAAGTTTTTCCGCAGTCTTGAAACTCCCAGAGTGAGTGATTGCATAGTGTACGCCACGAAGCTTCTAAAAGAGTACCCCTATGCCACACTAAAAGATGTCGAGAAGTTTATCATCACTAGTGACAATCTCAGAGTGATTGATAAGGTTATTCAAGCCGTAAGTATCACACGAGAAACGGAAGAACTTAAAGGCAGAGAACATGTTGAAGCTGGGCCTTTACTTCATGTGCATTCGGTACATGTACAACCAAAAGAAGCCCTACAAAACAGACCACTAGTGGTATTTGGTACGATTCGGGTTAAGTATCAAAATATCAGGAGTGGAGAAGTGATGCAGCTTGATGTTTACAGTCGGAGTGCCGATGATGGTGACTGCATAGGCCCAAGTGGTGGTGATTTAACTCTTGGTTGGCCTGATACTTTCCGTAATCATCAAGATTTGTGGATGGGATTGCACGGAACAACTGTAGGAGTGGATTTGTATCTCAAAACTGAGGATAAGGTTGTTCCGTTTGCGCAAGAGGAAATTTTGGTGGAGGATTCAACTGAATGTGATTTTGAAGAAGTAAGATCAAAAGAATTTCAATGCGCGCTTTGCTCCGCTACCTTGGTTTATATTGCTATGCCATTTGCTGCTCTTTGCCAAGTGCATGTTGGATTCTCTGGCAAAGACAAGAGCCGGCTTGTTGATGTTGCTGGTAAAATTGTTGCGCAATATAAGAGCACTTATGGAAACTATGATTCAGAAGCGTGTGTCCTCTTTGAGAAGCAGAATGACTTTGAACCAGTGCGAATGAAGAATAACCTGAGTCTGTCAAGAACATGGCTGGGATTGCCAGCATATTCGTCACTTGAAATTGATCTGGACTTGAGGGACTTTAACACAAACAGAAAGCTTGTCAGAAAAAGAGTTCGATTGTTTCACGAGAATGGTGCATATGCCGGTGAATATGCAGAGGCGGTGGATGATCTTGCCATTATTATTGATGCACGATTGTTTCCGTACCCACATGATGGGCGCAATGGGTGCAATGATTTAGACAAAGACGAGGTAATTCCTTGTTTGAAATCAATAACTTTAAGCAAAAAGAAGTCATCATGGATTAAGGCTCTAAATCTTGGAACACTGTACACTCCAGATAAATATAGGAGTAATAAGAATATTACATGTAATGGATATGATTTTTTATCTAATTTTTTCCCATTGCCAATGGACCTCAAATAGCCAATTTGACAATGTTTTAGCCCCTGGACTAAATTAATATGGCATACTAAATTAATATGGCATACTTAACTTCTCCTGCTTTTTATGAATTTTGAGCGATATATGTAACTGTACATCAATGGTCTAAGTCTAAGTGGTCTAACAATGATCAAACAATGGCATCTCTGTTGGTAAGGTAAGGTTGGGTACATCTAGATTCTAGACCCCCAAGATCCCAACAGAGTTCAGATTACATAATGGGTTTGTTTTGGTTGCTATCAGTGAAGGTTTTGTTTTAGTTCACTTTCATCTTATTTTTTGTTATAAACGCTACACAAGTCACAAGTATTGTTAGAAGACTACATATTACTTTAAAAGAGCATTGCATTAGTTTGATATATTTAATTCTACATCACTCTCTGTCTAACATTTTTTCATTTCTTTTCAGTCTAATAATGAATTGTCATCATCCAACAATGGCAACCCTTGTTTTGTGATTCCTCCATTTGTGCCTTTTCAATTAATTAGGTGTCATAGACATGGCCGACAAAATATACCACAACCATCAAAATTAGCGGAATTCTACTCAATCTTTATTGGTCGTAAAAAATTGGTGGCATTAAATATTGTTGGCAGAGTTGGATTTTCTTCCAATGATAATACTCAGTATCTGTTCAAGAGGACGACTGGTTATGATGCTTCGAAAGTAGAAGATTCACAGAAACTTCTACCATTGTCCGATGTGTATAGCTGTTTTGATGAGAATACGTCGATTGAATTAAAGGTTGATCTAGAAGATCTTGATGACGAATTTAAGAATAGAGGTTTTGCTACTTACAAACTTGGATTTGTGAACCATAACTCATCATATAACACCCAAATATGTTCTGTTTTCCCGGGCAAAGATGGGTTTTGTGCATTGCACTATTCCTTGTTCCCAAGAGCTTGTGAAGCAAGCATCGAGATCTTTTTAAGAGTTAAGAGTGCTCAGGCACAGGATGGCAAGATCTATGGAAGCGCAATCACACAATATAGCAACTTTGACTACTCAACTAAGCTCAAGAGAGATTATTTTCGGAGCGTGCTTTTCAAAAGGACTGACAAGGATCCAGTACAATTAGGGAGTGATGGGAGAGTGCCACTTTCTCGATGTGCAGTCGTGGTGCCAATGGATTCGTCCCTCATTATTGAAGTAGATTTTTGTAGCTTGTCTGTGAAAGATCATCTAACGTTCACAGAAAAGTTTAAGATTGGATGTTGCTGCTTTAGAACAGAAACAAATGATTATGAACTTGGCATCAGGTTCACTTGGAGTGATGGTAAGCAATTGTATTTTTTTGTTATACTTTACTGTTCTAGCTTTTGCTGTTTCAGTTATTTTGGAAACAACCTCTCTACTTCCAAGTAGGGGTAAGTTGTACTTACAAACACCCTCCCAGGCCCTACTCGTGTGGGATCAAACTGGGTTGTTATTGTTGTTGCTATTTCAGTTGGTTTACAAGAATATGCCACAAACCAAAGCAGTGTGCCTGGTCTATCAACTCTTAAGAGTCTCACGTTTGATTATTTAATAAAGAATGGTAGGTGAATAAGATAAAGAGTTGAACTACATAATTGATTTGTTTAGCGTTAGTCAATTGAGAGTCTTACAGCCAGATTTTTTTGATAATCTTTAGTAGTGGGCTCTCAGTTTGTGATGGATCAATCATGAAAACCAAGTTAGCAAGGTTACTACTCCGTAATTTATTTGTAGCATTCAGTCGCCTTGTTTGATGATGAAGGGTAACTAGTGAAAGGTATAAGTAAAAGTGCTTCTGATGTTCTAAGACGTTATGGGCGCTAAATGCATCAAGGATCCAATCAAAGCAATTGATCTGCTCTCTATAAGGCTTGGTCTGTCTATACATTGACCAAGAAGCAATTTTTTGACGACTAAGCCATAACAATAAAATCTTGAGAAAATGCAAGATAAATGATCTCAATGCATTGTGCAACTTATTGGGTTTGTTGTTGATGATTTTGTCATTATTGTTGATTCAGGATTGCACGATGGGTGGAGAGATATAGACGAAGACAAGGTAATACATTCTTTGACCGTAATAAACATGTGCAAAAAAGAATTTTAACTTGAGTTTAGAATTTAGATTTATAACACTATGCAGTGAAGATAAATAATATGATTAACGGAAAATGTACATTAATACTCCCAAGGTTGAACAGTCTAACACAATTACGTACAGAAAGAATAATACTCCCAAGGTATAACCCATGCCACAAATTAACTCCAATGCTAACGAAGTTCATTGCTTTGTCACGCCTATGCTGATTTGGAGACAAAGCGATGACAATAATCTAAGCAAAATGCAAGACAAAGAATCCTGATTCATTGAACAACGTATTGTATTCGCTGTTGATGGTTTTGTAGTTATTGTTCATGCAGGATTGCAGGAAGGGTGGAGTGATTCAGACGAAGAGAAGGTATTTTTTTTTCTTTAATTTTAAAATATATGCACATGCAAGCTGAAGTCTAACATGAGTTTAGTCATAGAATTAGAAAGTACAGTAAAAATTAGGATCAACGAGTTTGATGTGTTCAGTCATTCCACAGTTAACATTATACCTCAATTGTTGTACGCCACAGTCAACAAAAGTGAAGTAGTACTATGTCTTTGTTTGTGCGAGAATTTGATGGATAATAGCAAAATAACATTTTGCAGGATTGTTAAGTCTTGACAGCCAATTTATTATTAAAAATCATGTCATTTACTTTTTACATTTTATGAAGTTCAGAGCATCAAGTGAATCAGGGTCGCGTACTTCTTGACTAACAAGACCTTATTGAGTTGGGATTATACTAGGGTTGTTGTTTTGTATATTAAAATGAAATGGAAGTATAAATTCACTTGTTTGGCTTTGGTAGGAAAAGAAATAGAGGTAACGGTTTTGGTGCCTCATAGAGTGCTTGCTTGCTTGTTGTGGGCTGTTACTGAAACCTGCGAGGATCTTCTGATCATGTTGCTAATTCTGTTTATTTTCCTTTTCAAGCGTCAAGCGAAAACAACCTGATCCGCATGGTGGGGGGAGTGATTTAGACGATGACGAGGTAATTCATTCTTTAAATGTAATAAAGCTATGCAAAAAGAAGTCCAACATGAGTTTAGACATAAAATCACAAAACACTGCTTGCAGTGAGGGTAAATAATACGAGTAATAACAATGAATGCAAAAGGTGTGGAACGTCTTACACAAATATTTGTTTTTGTGACCGGCATTGATTTGGCCACATCTTCGGAGCATGTTTTATACTGACACTGATCATCTTATTGGTGGTGCACTACTTATTTGTTTTAGGAGTATTTTGGGAGCGATTTTGGGTCAATGCCTACTCCTATGGACATGTCGCCGTAAGTGTTTTAAATACCCTTTTTTGTACTTTGCTCTCATGGATGGATTCATCGGATGCAGTGTAAAAACCAAATCCTTGGTTGGCATGGTGGTGATCAGGGGTTGCAATTGCAAATCGGAATTTGGATAGTTGTGTTTTTTGGATGAAAAATGCTAGGTTGCCCCCCCCCCCAATGGGTGTTACTCTAGGTGCACCCATGTTTCGCACAGATGATTGTCATTTGTGTCATTTGTTTGAAGCATGAGTGCACCCATGATAGCACCTTAGCATGACCGTTTTTGGACTGTGGTTAACGAGATGCGATTTAAATTAACGCCACTGCCACAAACCATTATGTACTTGTTTATGGCGCTTTGAATTTATAACTATTAAATTTGACCTTCATACATTTATTGCGCTTTGACTTTGAGTGTGTCCTCTTTCATCCAAACATTTTTCATGAAAAATGCTAGGGGTATACCAAATGTGTACCCCATATGTCCCCCACCCCCTCCTTGTCCATTAAAAAAGCAAAAAAATTTAAAAATAAATAAATAAAAATCAAATAAAAATGTGTGGTGGAGAATAAAAATCAAATGCTCATTTTTCATTCCATCCTTCCACTTCTGTTAACTACTCCTTGTTTATTTATTACAGAGTAAGGATACGTTTCATTCCACTTAAAATGTAAGCAATAGTTACTATTTTGACTTATCGATAACTTTTGGTTGTTCGTTCGTTTTGATAGAAGTTCTTATTGTTGTAATCTGAAAACATATAACATTATTGATTATCCAAGACACATAGTTAAGGATTTCCATATATAAGTAAATGGATCCAAAATAATATTAGTATTATCCAACATACTCCCTCCGTCCCATTTTATAACGCCTGTTTCGGTTTACGATGTTTGACTGAAGTTATTTTTAAATGATTTTATATGAAAAATGGTATAGAATTAAAAAATTAAAATTACATATCAAAATACTACATCAAAAGATCTACAAAACTAGTAGTGACAACAATATTTTATTTTATCAATTTGCTAACGAAAATAGAGAAAGAAAGTGGATAAAGTTTGACCCTGTGAATAGTAAACAGGCATTATAATTTGGGACGGAGGGAGTACATAATATAAGTAAGGTGATGAGTAATATATTTGTGACCATCATTTTCAAATTTAGTACCAGTATTATTTAGGATTGTTTCATTATAATCTTTTTTGTAAAAAATAATATTCTAATTTCCATTAATATATGTACTCTATTAATTTTAACTCTTATTATACACGAATCTCCAGAATAAACTTTTGTAACTTATTAATTTAAGTATGTAATTTTTAAATATGGAAGTAAAATAAAGGATTAATATATGTAGCATGGTCCTAAAATTCTATTTAAATTAAATGAAAAATATTATATTTATTTTTTAAATCGTATTTATATTTTTTCATATTTATTTTTAATTATTTTATATTATCATCATAATAGGTGTTCTTATTGTTGTAATCTGAAGGAAAGAATTTCGTTGAATGTTAGTGATTATTGTGTAGAAAATCTGCGGTCAATTATTTTCAACGGGAGATCCGCTAGTGCATCGTATAAAATTAATTTCACTAGTTTACTCGAATATTACGTGGCGTGCTGACACGTTTAAATTTTGCTACATAGACATGCCAAATGTCAAATTTTTGTGCATCCGAGTCTCTTTTATTATATTAAAGGATTAGATCTATTTGAAGCAAATTGTTTTTTAAATATAATTACAAAGAGATAAGTCTAGATCGAATTGAATCAGATTAGATTTTATTAGATCAGATTATATGTTCAAAGAACAAAATCAAGCGAACAAAACAGAACCTAAGTTTGAAGTATTTTTCAATTTAGTACCTATACTTCAAAATCAATTACCAAAATACCTAACTTGATAGAATTTTTCAACAAAAATATTTTCAAGGTCAGGTTAAATTCTTCTTTCTTCTTTTCGTCTTCTTGACTTCTTTCTCACTGAGTATTTCTTTTCTTCATTAATTCAAAATTTGATTTGAACTAAACATATTGCTACTTTCTCATTTGTTTCTGTATTATTTTTTATTTGATTTAACACCCAATCATTTCTTTCCTTTTATCATAGATCTGTATCTCTGTGGGCATTAATAGTAAAAAATAAATAAAAGAAATTGTATTTAAAAAAAGAATTAAACCCAGAGAATTGTTTTCACTTTAAAACACATAGAAATTGGGAAGATCGAATAGAGGGTCCAATTTGTTGGGATTTTAAGCGCGTAAGATACCGAAAAATATTGAGAACACCAGAAAAATGAGAGAACAAACACAAGGAGAATATATGAGAGAAAGATTATATCTTCACTATTTCAGAACGATATACAAAAAACTCTCCCTGTTTACAAGTGCTAAATACCAGACACTTATAAACAGACTTTTCACACCCTACACCCGGATGTATTTTCCGAGTAACTAAAAACTAGTTACTCCCTACACTCACTCACACAATATTGGTGATATCTTGTGTAACAGCTCTCTCTTTAACCTTCCTCTCCTTTTTCTCCCCTCCTCAACCGTATTGTGCCATGCATGGCTTTTAAATAGCCAAATACACAATAATGGAGAATAATCTAGCTCACACCCTCCAAGAGAAGAAGACAAAACTCCTAAAGGCTCTCCTGCACTTCTTGGTTGTTTCCACCAAGTTACATCTCTTTTTTTTTCTTTTTATTTTGTTTCAATTATTTAATCAAAATATCTCAACACAATTTGAACCTGAGCTAAAATGAAGAACACATCTCCTAACAAATGCTTCATGATACTCCCAATTGCACTTGTAATAAGAAAAAGAGTACTATAAGGGTGAGCAAGTACCGAATCAATCCTAAAATTTCTCATAAAAAATCGAGATTATCGAATAAAAAAATACCGAATTGATAAAATACTGAAAAAGAATCGTGCCATACCCAAAGCCGGTCCTGAGAATTTTATGGTCCGGCAAGAGACCAAAAAAAGGGCCCTTAACCCCGACCAATCAAATTATACTCCGTAGCGAGTATAAATTTATGTTGTGAATGAGTGATTTAACATTCTTTTTTTTGTAAATAATATGCCACAGATAGTTTCCAAATTCAAACAAAAAATAATTAGTAGCACATTACCAATCATTAATTTACCGGGTTTTTTCTAAACAATATGCTACTCCAATAAGGAGTGAATTAAATTAATAAAAGTCTTGAATTGAAACTGTGTAGTTGAAATCAATATGGGAATGTACTTGTTTAATCGTGAATTAGGAAGAAGTAATTTTGTAGATCAAGTGGTTTAGTTCCAAGCTATCACTCACCCAAATGAGTATGTGGTTTAGCACTTTATTTTTTCAGAAATAGAATAAATCAAATATGGGCCCTTAAAATGAATAAGTTGGTCCGTTAGGCCTGCTCGACCCACCCCTGGGCAAGCCCTTACCATATCAAATTGAAAGATCGGTCCTGTATTTGGGATCAGTACGAAGTAACTTTTCATATTACAAAATTTTGAACCAAACATATATACAAATATATTATAAAATAATAATGTTTTTATATTTCTTCATTAAATAATAAATTGATTTTAAAACGTTGGTTAGAGTGTAGATAAATTACAAATAATCTTTTATTTAAATAATCATATATTTGAATTTTAATTCTTTATAGATGAATATAAAAAAAATTAACACACATTTGAGATACTATTTTGTTATCATTTGTTCTCTTTTCTTGGTAAAAAGACAAGGATAAATTAAAGTAAGTTTCATAAATATTTCTTGTTTTTAATTATTAAATTTCCATTTTTTTTTATCTTTTTTATTTGAATGTACTGTTGATAAAAAGTGCGAGTTACAAAAAATTATAATTATGATTTGGGCCTTGTTTGGAAAACAACATTTCGAATAGCTTTTGGCATCTTTGATTAACTTTGGTTTTTTTGACCAAGCGAACCACCAAAACCATTGTTTTGCTAATAGCTTTTTCACTTAGCATTTTGATCCGAAAAGCCAAAATCTGAAATGCCAAGGGGAGTAGCATTTGGACTTGGCGGTTAGGAAAAATAATTTTTTTAAAATCATTTTTGTTGAATGATAATATATATATATATATATATATATATATATATATAGGAAAAACGATTTTCAACAGCTAATTTTACCAAATATTTTTAACGATCAGCCAATTCATTCTGCAAGTCAAACCAGCTAAACTAAACAGTCATTCACAACAGCTGGCACGAACTGCCAACTGCCAAGACAGTTGAAAAATTGGAAAAACTAGGAGTAAAAAAATTGTAAGGCATTCAAACAAAAAGCAAGGAGTTTGAAAAATTTTCAAAGAGTTTTAGAAAATAAAAAATTAAAACAATAATTTTATTTTATAAATTTCATATTTTATTAAAAAATATATAAGCTACTTTTTAAAAGTTTAATCACTTTTTATTTTTTATGCCATTATATTTTATCCCAACTTTAAAAAGTAGCATTTTACCTTCATACCCTCTTTTTTATTATTAAAAAATTATTTCTTCTAAATAATTCTTTTAGCCACAAAAAGATGGAAGTAATTTCTAGACACAAGAGAAGAGATTATAGAAGGATTACAAGCGGAGCCAAATGGCCTGTTTGGGAATAGCGTTAGAGATTAGCATTAGTTTTTTAGATAAAATTTTAACGGTGCAGATTACTTTGAAAACGCTAACGCTAAACACTGTCCGTAGATAGCCTTTTCAAAACGCTAACGCTAATCGCTAACGCTATTCCCAAACAGGCCCAAAGAAACGCATCCAAGAATTCCATATCTCCGGTAATGGTTTCAAAAATTGGTACGAATTACTCCGTAATATTTTATAAATGACAATTGCCCCGTATTTATTAAAGAAATATTTCTCAAATAATAATCATTTATTATTAACATAGGCATGCAAATTAATTAAACTCTACTCCTACTAGTATAGTTTTTGATAAATATCTTAATGGAGTATTTATTAAAATAAATAATTACTACCTCCGTCCAGAGTATTTGTCCACTTTTATTTTTACACACCATTCAATACACTTCTTTAATCAACTTTATCTTGTAATTTGTATATTAACAAATTATAGAAATTATATATTAAAAATCTATATGTTAAGAAAAATCAAACAAGGTCACATATTGCAGAACATGAAAAGAGAATTTTGTGGGTTGTTCTTCATGTTTGTGACCAGTAAAGGAGTGTGATGTGACACCCCTCATTTAATACCTTTGTTTCGATGCCAAACTTAATCATCCAGATGTCATTTGAAAGAGCTCTATCCAATTGTGACCATATTCTTTTCTCTAGTCCTTGCTTATTTGACCACGTATAATATATGGACCCACTGTTGGTATT